ACAAAGAATAAACACATGCAAGTGAAGATTACAATAATCAGCATTTTAATTTATCTCGAAAATACGAAAAAGATAAAATAAAATATTGATTCGCGTGTTACAATAAATAGTGATCGACGAAAAGTACCAAAATATAAAAAGTTTTTTTGATATTTGTATTACTTCGCATCTTTCATTTTAAAGAAGCGAAAGATTGTATCAGAAACGCACATGCATATAAAATTGAAATTATGCTCTATATTTATGAAACTCATTCTTAACGATTGCAAAACGTGACAGCAAGTTGTTTCTGTGACATTCACTTCTCAGAAGAAGTTACGTCGTGTTAATCGCCTATCAAAATTGCAAAGAGAACGTAATCTGCCTATCAGTTTTGCCAATTAACATCACAATAAATCTACCGAGCGCGCGCACATTTGCAACAAAAAAAAATAAAATGCATAATTTATGATCGTTTCTTTGCGACGGAATCGCAATCCGAATAATTACGCGTGTAATGCTTATGTGCTACTGTAAATATAGTTCAGCGATTAGTTTATCGTAAGACTTATTTGTCGGTGCACATTATCGTTGGCGTTTTTCTTATGCACATATCTAATCACTATTAATTTTTGCAAGAAATGTGCGGATAAAGCGAAGGGATCCACATTCACTGTGGTCGACCGTGAAACGACTTATGCATAGAATTGCTGTACAATATATATTTTAGTTTCATATAAATAATAATTGTTTCATTATACTATTATAGATGTCCAAATATACCGCAACTGTTAGCTGTAGGATGCTTTCCAGTAATGTACACAGGCAATGTAAACTATGTAACTCAGTGTACAATTCCATGCTATCCAATTATGAGACACATTCGTACTGAATATTAATGCAATCAAAACACACAAAATTTACTTTTTAGATATTTATTTAACATTTTTACAGTAAATAAATATTTAAAAAATGTTTTCAAAACATTGTCTATTGATTGAAAAATTTTGTCGTTTTATATCACTTTACAAATATCAAATTTTTATATTACCATTTTGTTTACTATTTATTTTTCTACAGATGAAAGAGATATTTCAATAAAGAATTTTAAGATTATATTTGGATATACTATTTGGATATATAAATGTATGAGACCTTTATTTTTATTTCATATTGGCGATGGAATAAAAAAGCTATGCAACGTTTTAGTCATAAATCGACACTTTGTATTACTGTGTCACACAGTGTATTTCGTTGCGAGAAAATACTTATTTTTTTTAGGTTCTTTTTGAAGTACATTGCCCCGATGGAAACATTTTTACATATCGAAGAAATACATTACCGCTACACTGAAAAAAATTCACTAAGTTTTGATGCATGTTTTTTTGAATAATATACTAAATAACATTTACATAGAGTACATAAATATTTACGTATACACTGAAAAAAAATATATTAAATTTTGAGATAGGATATTTATTTGAATGACACCAATCATTTACAGCAATTATTTACTTAATAAAAAAAAAATAGTTAAATTAAATTAAGATTCTTGTACCAAATAAATGTTTTAGTAAATATTTACTTAAAATAGAACGATTTAAACGATATCATGAAATTCATTAAATTTTTTAAGTATTTTTTTCTAGTATAGGTATCTAAAAGATATTCATAATATTATAAGTTATGCAAACTCAATAATGTTTACGCAATTGATTCTATTATGCATATATAAGCGACCATAAAATATTTTCTTTCTTTACCGTATTAATCGCGTTGGTGCAATCGCCTTGTTTTAGTATGTCGAACGATCTCTTGCACTCGCGGATGAAAACGTACATATATGTTATTTATTTACTGGTTCCTAAGGTCAGTCGTTGGTCTGGATGTGACGAAAGCGATATATAAAATATTTAAAGCGATCGAGTGGTGCGTTAATTGCAGCTGAAACTTATTTGCGTTGCATATACGCGCTCATAAGGAAGAAGTCCTCGGGGTGATAAACTAGAAATTGCATCGTACTTTACTAAGAAGAGCGCGAAATAGATTCAAGATGCACGAAACATTAGTTTCGCAATCTTAGATGATAATCTTACGTAAAATAATTTTTTTTGTAACAGCTTCTACAAGAAATTGTTTCATAATTTTATATACCTAATCTTTTTTTCTTAATACAAATGGAAAAGATAAAAACTTATACATGTATTTAGTTTTTGACAATTAAGGAAACAAAATAATTTAACAATAAGTGAAAATAAATGAACAAAAAATAAAATTATTAACTTTGTCCAATAAATTGCATGATTTTTTTTCTCGCACGTGTCTGTATATTTTACACATTAAATAAATAACTATAAGGAGCAGTTTATTAGCTGTCAGCTATTAATGTCGCGATTTCTACTTGGAAATCCGTTGATATTACTACACATCGGTAGTTAACGATGTAATTGGTGCTGTAAATTAAAGATCACTATAAAATTATTTGTTATTAACAAAAAATACATGAATATTTTTTTTCGAACGTTAACGATCTTAAAACATTAACGCATTTTCATCCGTTTGGTCTCTCTGTTGGAGACAAATAATATTATTTTAGATAAGATAAAAACGCAGCTGCTTGTTAATTTCAAGAGCAGTAAATATGTTGTGTTCTAATCGGACCAATGGGAACACTCATTACCGGCGATTTTGTGACATCGTAGAAATATATATCATTCGGTATTGCTTGATGTAAATCGAGATAACAGGTCGATGTTTAATTTGGCCCGACAAATACTTTCTCTGACACTTTACGCGACATTGACATTGACATGTTGCAGAAGAGCGCAATATCCAATCCCAATCGAAGTGTAAGAAGAGATCGCTATGCAAACAACAACAAACTGCTGAACCATATGATATACGCTATAAATAGGATTTATGTAACAGCGCATATGTAATTTCTCGTATATTTAATGAGCAGAAGTTGTAAATTCTCTTTAGCATAAATGTTTTGATTTGTGTATGTTTGCCGTGCAAACGGGCAGATAAACCACGACGCAGAGTTTTGTATAATTAATATAATTTTTAAATCTTCGTAACAACAAAACATTAATTGTTAAATGATAGCGAGTTAATCTGAATATGTATAGTACCCCAAAATAATTGAAGAACACGTATTAAAGATGGAAGCATTTTTTAACGCGTTTAACGTAATAATAATAAAAGAAATTAATTTAATTTTTATACAAAGACTTTACATATAAAAATAAAAGTAAATTTTTATTTGTTTAATACTTTTCTTGTGTGGTAAAGAAAACTACTGCATTTCTCAAAATGCAGCCGTTATTCAATTGAGAGATTTTTAGTAAATCATAAGAAACTGAATTGACTTTTATAAAAAAAAGATTTTTGCAATACAGCGGATTTTTATTAAATATTTTTATCAAAGAAAACTGCTGCTTGTCATTTCCACATGACACTCTTATTTAAAGTTGAGGAATTATTAAAAAAACGCAAGAAGTTAAAGATTCTTATGAAAATGAATCTCTTTATTTACTTTTCTTAACAAAGAAAACTGCTGCTTGTCAAGAATAGTAAATCATACTTCCGGAGGACTATCGATTTATAACCGCCGTCGAATCGAAGAGAGTAAGAATCTCTCGACTTTCGATGTCTGTGGTCGCATCAGCGCCATATGTTAGCGTGTAAAAGCCATTGCTCTATTCTCGCAAAAATCGACTAATAAAAAGGTAACTCGTCGACCTTCGATATAGTCTACGCTTCGTGGCGACTGGTTCTCCATCTCTTTTTCACTGCTACCAGGTCTCTCCCTGTCTCTCCCATAGCTTTTCTTCTCTCTCCTTCTCTCATTGCACACCGCGTGTATGTGTACTTATGTTCGCCGCTCTGCCAACTTTCACGTATCATAATATATAGTGAAAGAATGTGGTTTCCCTTTCAAATTACAAAATATGCCACGAGCATGCAATTCAGTACACTTCCCTTTTCTTTAATTTCGCTTTTTTAAATAACGTTTTATCTCGATAAGTTTTTAAATTTTTTCAAACAGTCCACTTTTGTTAACAACACGTGCAATTAGTCACCGACAGTACAATAGATAAACTATCAGAAGCAAATGAAAAAAATTAGATGGAAAGAGTTAAAAAAAAAAAAAAAACTACAAATATACAACATAAGATAAAAAATATTGTAACTTTGCATTTACGTCTGTCGCTGATCTGATGTCTCTCGACTTGAAATCTGAATTCTCTTCTTCAGACTTTTCACGCCTTTATTCAAAGGTGTACATCCTGCTGATAAGCGGAACATGAGGATCTAAAGGTTTAGACTGGAAAGGATAGCGCCTGGAACTGAAACCTTGATTGAGATATTACATTGCCACGGCACATACAATTGGTGCGCAGTTTTATTATTAAAGAAGGACTTGACCCAGATTTTATCGGTGAGGGAAAAAAAAAATAAACGGATACCTAGCGATCTATCCTGAATGTCTGTCTGACATCTTCGTCGAGCGGCGCATTATTGCCTCCGGCGACGACTTGTATCATCTTTCATGTTATTAATTTAGACAAGAGGGATGGATTTATGTGGGTTGTGACAAACTGGGTCAGGGACATAAGTTTACATACGCGTATAACGTATACACTAGGCAAGTTATCCGGATTCATATTTCCTTACAACGAAAGATATATGTATGTATATGCTTTATTCATTCCAGATAAGCAATAGTTCTAACAAGACTAAATTAATAGTTTATACTGGTTAATAATGTAAACATGTTTTACAAATATAAGCGATTACGCGTGAGTTATGTTACGAGCGGTAATTTGTTACATATAAATGGTAAAATAAACGTGTAAAGTGCATACGGTGGATTTCAAGCGATTATTATTTTATTTCATACTTCACTTTTTTTTATACAACGTGTAATCTTTCAGATAATTGGTGAAGGTGAAAGGGAATATTTATTAAAATATATAGACCGTGTTTAAAAAATGTTAAACGTTTTATTGATAATAAAAACGACATGCTTTTAATATAATTAGAGGACATTCTGCGGGCAACAGGTTCCTATACAAGTTTTCTTTTAATTTTTCCACTGCAACTGCCATGGCCACCCTTTGTCTCGATCTCAGTACTTAAGGCTGTCTCGGACAGCCGCGAAACAACGCCATTTGTCCGGTAGGTAGAACGGTTCGAAGATATGCGGGAAAGGACAGTCCCATCCTGTGACCCTTTGAACCGGCGCCTCCAGATGCAGGAAACACTCCGTCTGCATTGCGATTTTGACAACGCGCCGTTAGGACGACTTAGTGATTCAGTCCACGATTAGTTTTCTATTGCGCGTGCAACTTTCTAATTTATCAGAATCGACCGATATCGATCAATTCGCTAACTACGCGAGGGATTTAAGATACAAGACCAACTAATCACTGTTTAAAAAACCAGTTTAGAGGACTGTTACGCGTTGTGACATTACCATCCCGCGCATCATTTTGTCAAAGACTTCTGACTCAGACGACAGAGTCCGCTATAGTGAAATCACGCGATAAATCTGGCTATTGCGTAAAGCAGTATCTACAATGAGATTTTAAGGCACAAAACTTAATGCACAGTCGAATGATAAGAAGAATAATTGACTGTAATTGATTAATTTCTTACAGTCTCATCCACTATAGCTACTGCCATTATAGATCACGCACAAGCCTAAAAAATTTAACAATCATAAGCTGGTATTCATAGTTTGTTCTTATCTTAAGACTGTCTTTAACAATGTCTTAAAAAGTTAATACGCAGCCCTCTGATTGATTCATGATGTCTTAAGATTGTATATTTAAGACTGTCTTAAATAGAGTCTTAAATATGGAGAATCGACTGTATATATACCGGCTATAGTTGATCAGTCTTCTCACAATCGACTGTGATTGAACAATTTCTTACGACTTGAGACTTAAGCTCACTCTCTAACTTTTAGAGCAAATTATCATTTTCTAAACAGTAAAATCTCACTCCTAAGATTAAAAATTGAGCCACTCTTTTACAAGACTGGCTCAATTTTCGCTTTTTAATTTAGAGAGTAAATTTTCCACGTCTTAAGATCTCATTAGATCACTGTATTAGATATCTACATGCAATCTTTATGCAATAAAAGGATTTTCATTTTGCCATGAAGAGTCCGAGGATTCCACAGAGTGGACCTTACCTGTATCGTCGCAGCTATTTCTGCCCCAAATCCATTCGTCATCGGCGCTTCGTGGGCGACGATCACGCGTCCGGTTTTCTTCGCCGACTGTAACATTCGAACATATAATACATTGTATCATGCATATACGGTAATTTATTATTGGTCTCTAGCCGCCTCGGGTTTAATTCGCATGTGATTTACGTCCCGTCCCACATTGCGGTACAATAATAACTTCACATGCACGGCTGATGCGCTAAACGGGCGCATTAACGACGTCGCTGATGACGGCACGAGCCGTTTTGTAACAGCTATCAAATACGGGTCTACGACGTGATCGACGTTGTAGAAATATACGCGAGAACAGCCGGTGCGATCGGGAGTACACCTGTGCCCCTTTATACGCGTATATGTGTACATGTATGTGTGATATGTGTGCCCGTCCTGTTGTAAATCATTGACAAAGGTAACCAGATAGATAAGCGCAAATGAACGCTGAATACAGGTTCCTATGACATTTTCGATTCATGCCGACCTTCCTTGCAACTTTCAGGAGTTACAATCTTTCGTTACGGATACACCCTGCAGAAAATCTACGTCTCTATATTTATCGGATTGATATTTATGGGTTTCTGCACGTCTACTATTAACCTTTATTAACGGGCGCCTTGCTGTCACGATAAATGTTTGAATTATTGCTCCTTCCTCGTAATGTTCAATCCCTTTCAAACGCCTAAGGTGAATAACGTCAATTGACTTTGTGTTTACGTTTAAAGGAAGTCGACAACCAATTGCATCTTTCCCTTTTACTTATTATAATTATGACAAGATATTAAAAGAAGGATATTTTATTATTTATTTAATCTGATGTAATATGAGTATATATCATAATAATGTATAGATTTAGTTTACCTCTTTTATTATAAAATAGACAGGCTTTTTTTGTAAGATATAAAAAATTACAAAAACAAACAAGATGCCAATATGAGTCAACACAAGTTCTTAGTGTGCACTTTTTATACAACTTATTAGAAATAAATAATAAAACGTATACGTGTTTCGACCTACGGTTAAGGTCCTCTTCAGTACACGTTTAAAATAAAATAAAATTAACATTAAAAATAAATTACGTATATAATGGTAGCACATACAACTATACTTAATTCAAGTGTGAGATAAGAAATATTCGGGTGGTAATATTCAAATTAAAGTCAAATTTTGTTCATCAAATTGTTAAGTTTACTAAAAATTTTTAAGAAATGAAAGTTATTTTTAATTTTTAAGCGTAAATTTTTTCCTCCGATAAATCTATAATAAAATTAGCTTACATGATTCAAGTCAAGATTTGACGATTTTTTGTATAGTTGTTATATGTACAGGTTCCATCAGACTGCTCAGTTTTTACTGTGTAGGTAACATTTTTAAGAAGATTGGAGTAACATATCCTTCTGGACTTTAATGAATTTATTAAATTTATTTATGCCTTTATACGTCATAGGTATAAAAGGTAAGTGCTTTAAAAGATTTTTAATTATAAAAATACAAACAATAAAAAACCACAGTTTTTTACTTTACCATTTATTCTTAATATTTCCAACAAAATTAAAAATCTTTTAAAACACTTTTCTTTTATACGTATGGCGTATAGAAGTAACTATAAACTTAATAAACTCATCAAAATCCAGAAGGATGTGTTATCTCAATCTTCTAATATATATTAATATTATATAAACCGAATCATAACAAAAATTCACAAAAAATTCGGTCAATAAATCAATCAATGTGACGTCTAAATTAAGTAACATCATTTTAACTTTCTTGTTCTCCTTGAGATGTTACATCTGCGAAAGATCATTCTTATTAAAATATACTCATAATTAGTATTATTAATTCTTCTTTTTATATATATAGGTTATGTCATTTTCGTTCCTTGAATTTAATTAGTGCCTTTTAATTAATATAATAAATTAAATAAATGAAATTAAATCTTATACAGCCAGCATCAAGTATAACTGTGTTTGCCTCAACTTCAGAAGGTTAATTGAATTGAATTGATGCAATTCTTTTTCAACTTCACGCGAGGTTTCTCGCAGAAACGGCGTATCAGGATTTTGTTCTGCGAGAGCTGCAATTTCTCTCATTGCGAAATCGCGCGACATTTCGCAGGCAGTCATGTCGAAAAGTAGACAAGACGGCGAATCCGCGACTGCATTGAAATCGCGGCAAAACGGGTTTTCAATTACGATCACCTCGTCATGTGTACATATATGCGCGCACAATGTATCTATATAATACAGCGGCGATTTGCAAGCCCGCGAGTGGATATCACGATACGATCAAGCATATCATTAGTGACCTGCGATCGATTAGCATAAATCAGCACGATTATTAGCGTCTATAGAAATCCTATCGTAATTTGACAGGGCATACGAGCGGTCAGCTTTGCTTGACACCACGACCGCTTCTCATTTTACTTTCGACGCGACGAGCATCTACCTCTCTAATGTCGATGAGACGCCGCGTCATAGAAGATCACGATCCCGAGTCCTCGCGCGATCGCAGATAACACGCGCGACGACGATGAATCCTCGCGCGGTTGTGGGAAGAGTTGGTTTCCGATATTTCCTTACGGCGATGTCTATCCCGATGTCTCGTGACGTTTCAACGACGCGACGCATACAAATGGTGCGAAAAGGACTTCGATTGCGTCTCTTGTATCTCGCGTGGGCGAATATCCGACGATCTTCTACGTAGAAACGCGCGTTTCGGCATTCACAGCCGCGACACATCCATCACCGAGCGTCTCAGAGTTTCGAATTAAACCGAGGGAACGGAGCTGAAAGAAGATTTCACGCGATCGACCTTTGAAATTCGGTGTTAATCATGGAGAACGCCCATGAGATCGTCGCGACGATAACGGAAAGAACCCAGGCGAGTAAGATACGTCGGATTTTGTTCGCCTTAAGCGGAATCGTCGAATCGATCTTGCTCCTTCTCAAGGAAACGGCCGTTATTGCCCACCTTGCACACAAGTTCCGCGTCCCAAGGTAGAATGGAGACGAGGTCTATCACCTCGCAGGATACGCCGAGTTTCTCCTGGACTAGGTCGGCCACCTCCAGCAATACGTGCACCTGAGTGCCCCAGCCAACGAGTGTCACGTCGTCACCTATATGCGACAAAGAACCAGAGATGTATTCGTGTGTACATTATACATACGCGAGTACGTGCAGACGTTGTAATCGCTCACGGATGAAAGCATGCGTTTCTTTTCGTCTGTATCCTGTTTCAGGACCGGTCACATCGAGCGAGATCTCCGGCGATATAATGGAAGGACGCGATCGCACTCGGTAAATTATGTTCGCTTTTCGCGCTCGAGAGTGTGAATAGTTTCTTCCTGTATGGCTTCAAATAACGCTTTCTAAGATGTTATTTTTTATTCAATGTATATTTCGCGGTGAATAATGTAAAGAGCGACTGTATACACTACAAACATTTCTCCGAAGAATGATTTTACGCAACCGCAAATATTTATTCATAGTGCACAGTCATTTCCGTGTAATTTTAAACTTTAATTGTAACTGAAACATATATGAATCCTGGTGGCCCTGAGACTTATCATAATTTTTAAATAGTAACAATTTGAAATAATTTTATATTTCACAATCTTATTTTTCATAGTTTTAAATAATTTAAAGTTAAACAATTGAAAAAAATTAAACTAATAACGAAAATGTAATGGGTCCCAAAAATTTATGTTTCTTTAGTGTTAAAAAAATGTGTTCCTGATACGGATTAAATATCTAGACATTTCAAAACTCACCGCTTCTTACAATTTCAGCCTTCCCAATTTCGATCTTGTAAGGTGCCACAGGTACTTCATCGACCGCTATGCGATATAGAATTTTAGGCTCGAATATGATACAGGGATCTGGTTCGTCGATACAGCTCAGCAAGAGACCTTTCGCGTGGATCGCTCCACGAGGGACAACGATCTGAAATAAAAAAGAAGGCTGAGCTGATTAAAAAACGTATATAGTGATGTATTCGGGTGAGGCGAGACGAAAACACGAGAATCAAGTCCTTTGCGATGCTCTCGATAATAATCATCGACTCCTCAGCACATATCTGAAAACAAGCGTGAAATCGATCGGCTCCGGGTAGCATCGTCGCTAATATTATGCCACATCGCTTCTCTAGTGATCGCGATGTACGATAGCGGCGACCACGTGCATTAGTGTGCGGGCAAAACTTTCTTCATGCATACGTAGATCGCGTACGCTGTACAATATTCATGGAATTTGTTGAGGAAAGTTGTGAACGTATGTGATAGAATCTCACGATTCTACGGCTGGTGCGAGACATATAGCGAGGGCTATACCCGAAGAATGTTCCTGATGATGGAAATTTGGTGGTAAAACTCGTCTGGTTACTAAATTACACGATCAAGAAGATGGACCAATTTTTGGAGATAAAATCCAATCACGTAGCAGTTACGCTCGTATCCAGGTAGACTATAAAAGTTGTACGATGTCAGAAAACTGTCATCATTACTTGTCGTTTGAAAATAATAAATTCATCATAATATATTACTGATATTTCAATAAGTTTTCTGTGTTCTATCTAGGACAGATCTTGTTCAATATTATAGCAATGATCGACTTGTCAGGCATTTCGTACAAACAGTGAGGCGTGGCCTTTTACGACTTTATTATGAAATCGTCTATATCTCGATAAGGAACTTGTCTTTCCGCCCGACTGTTAACAGAGAGATATCTTAGTCTTAAGACATAGTTGGGAGGAAACATGCGGTTCACGTGTTACGCCCAACGAATAAAACAATAAAACCCATTTGTACTAGCCTTCAAACCGGGAGTGTGTGCAAAGTAGGCTTCTGGGCTTTGAGAGTGATAAAGACCACCATGACCGACGGCTCCACAAGGTGCTCGTATCGTAAGCTTGCCGCAGTCAAACATATTCCCGCTTCGATACCTCATTTTGGCAGCTTCGTTTACCAACTGTAGAGAGAACGTACACACAATTAATAGTCGAAAACAATTAATCCTCATCTTCTATTTAATAATTTGCATTACGAGTAAAGTACACATTCCGGGTTATTTCATACAATCCATTTACGAAATAGTTAGAAAATTTTACAAACTGTAAGAAAAAAGTTTTCAAGTTCTATGAATTTTTTAAGCAAATAGATTTCTTTGTCACACTTTTGTTTGCACTTTCTTATTATTTAAAAAGTTAAATTTTCTTAACTCTTTGAATTTTTTTACTCTAAATATGTTACAAAATATTAATTATCATTCTATCTGTTATATTTATACGTGTTGTATGAATAATGCGAATAAACCTGGTCGAAAGCAGGAAATATGTAATCGGCAAACTGTATTTCGGCGATTGCCGATATTCCCGCATTGGCTAAACCGATTCCGAAACCGGCGATTCCTTGTTCACAGAGAGGCGTATTGAAGACACGATTGACACCGAAACGGTTCTTCAAATCCATCGTGCAACGAAAAACACCTCCAAATGCCACGTCCTCGCCAAATACCACTGAAATTTTGAAAGAAACTATAAGCAACTAATAATAAGCAACGTTCCTTTTTTTCTGAAAAGTGCAACGATTTCTATCTATTCAAAAAATTTTAATGAAAAGAAAGAGATTCAGTTTTTTCTCAAAAAATTAAATTCTGTTAATCTTTAGACGTTTAAATAATTTTTTTTCAATAGCTTAATCAATATTTTTAATTTTTCGAAAGTATTAAAAAATTGAGAATATATATCGTTAAATTAAATGCATATTTTGATACAAAAAATTTATTATATAATGTATTATATTTTAATGTATTATATTTACATACAAGCTACATATTGCAATTAAAAAAGAACACTAATACAACAGAATCCTCACCTGAACGTGGATTGTTTTCCAATGCAATGTTAAGCCCATGATTTATAGCTTGATACATATTCAACTTTTGAGTCTCACCTAAAAGTAAAACTCTTTTACGTAATCACATGAATAATGCATAATCAGGGCCGTGCAAAAGATTTTTAGGGACCTGCCCATGCAGTACACTTTTATCTTACAGTTGTTCCTGCGAAAGTTCTCAGAATGTCTCTTGGACATCTGTGGTTATATATGCGTGGTGCGAGGGTAAGGATGGGTTTACTTGTTCATGAAGTTCGTGTATATATACATACACCATTCATAATTACTTTCTCAAGATAAATATATCTATGGTGTTCGCAGCTAAAGGATGAAAGAGTAACAAAGAAAATAAAATAATAAAGAAAAAATAATCGTTTATCATAGCTCTTTCTATTTCTTTATAACTCACTGTACAAGAACTTGAATAATACATATATTCAAATAATAACTACTCGTTGCTTAACAATCGTTGTAAAGCAACTATTGCCAGATTGCACATAAAACCGTTCCATAAGGAAATTACGTGTGAAGATTATGCAGTTGTTCAAGTTACTAAAATAATTGCATTACACAATATTTATTACAATAATAAATGCCATTAAATTTAAATTATTACTTTATAAATTATAAATATAAATTGGGTAAAAATTTGGATAGAAATAATAAAAATTATCTTATTGTTATCTCTCAATTTTTCTTATTGTTAATTTCGGGATTCATTAGAAGTCCTGATGCACTGTTATGCCTTTCATCCCTTTGCACGGCCCAATGCATAATTAAGCGTAAAATAACTTTGGATAAATTTTCTAAAACATTAGTGCAACAATTGAACTAAAAGACAATTTTTTGAAAATTTTGAAAATCTTTATAAGAACCATAAATATCATCTAATAAAAACTTGTATCATCCTTGTTACATCGATCTTAAGTGTAATTTTATTTTAAACGGAATGAAATAATAATATAATGATCATCATTATAACAAATATGGTAAAAAAAATATTAATTTCAGCAATTTACCACGTCAAATCCATTAGTTTATAATTTAGTCTTGATGTAATATATCCTTGCTCATGCATGAATTAAAGAAAGACGATCATCTTCAACAGAAATATGAATATTTTAAATCAAATATTTGAATATTTATAGAGTGTGCCCAAGATTAAATTTGTTTTGTTTTTTATTTTGAAACAAATAATCATTTTAAGAGAAAGAGAAGGAAGGGAAAAAGGAGCGCGAGAATAATAGGGAGCAAGAGAGAAAGAGTCTGTTAAATTGAATATATAGAATAATACGTTATAGAACGTATTAATTAATAACGGCATTAAAAAAGTTTAGTAGCATTGACAGTCCGTCCAGAAACCGCGCAAAGCAAAAAATATACTTGAATACTTAAAGGGATGCTGGAGCCACCTATATTATCGATAAAATTAGCGTTTTTAACATTTTCATTTCTGACTAATTTCTTCGCAGTAGTTTGGCAGAATAAAAATTCCTTCTCCACGATTTAAATATTCATGCTAATGTATCTGCTCCTGATCTATATTATGTTTAAAGCTGAGAAAAAAAAAATGAAATTACAGATTTCTCTTTATCCATTTTTATCATCAGTGTTGGTCGTCATACTGAGGTTAAATGTGGATAAAGAAATCTGTGATTTCATACTTTTTCCAGCTTTAAACACAATATAGACCAGGAGCAGATACATTAGCATGAATATTTAAATCGTGGAAAAGGAATTTTTACGAAAACGTCAAAAACGCTTTATCGGTAATACAGGCGGCTCCAGGCATTTCCTTAATGATACCAACTGTCAGTAGACATATGTGTCGAATACTGGGCCCTGGACAAATTTTTGTGATTATCAATCCGGGGATCCCAGGATCATAATTGAAGAACGTTGACAATTAATCTAAATTTTCGACCCGTGTGAAGCTGGCACCCCAATATTAAAAAATCGATTATTTTCTTCATGCATTCGTTTGCTCATCGTTTGCTCACGAATGCTCAGTTGGAATTTTCGTTTGCTCACCCTTAGTTCAAAAGATACAAGAAAATTAAGTTTTGGTATCGAATTAAAAAATGATTTTTTTAATTCGATATCGGGTAAATTTTCGATTAATACATATATATATAAATATGTTTGTAATATGGCTCAATAAATTTAAAACTAATAATGAGAAACAGGGCTACGAGCCAATGAATTCGTTAAAATCTTCAATTTATTCTAATATATTGCGAAGAATATCACGCAATTTTGGCATATATATAAATATTTGGATAATACATTATTAAATTCATAATTGTTTTATTATATAAGTACTGCATAAATAAATATATGTATGTACTTATATATACTATAATAGCTTGTCGTAAAATTACAATTTCTTTACATTTATCATTTCTATTGATTATTAAACTCGGACGATGACAATTAAAATTAATTTTAAATAAAAATCGAGTATTATTGAATTTTAAATATACATATATATAACATATCTAGGAAAGTATTATAATATAAATCATAAAATTAATATTGCATTATATCAGTTTCTTACTCTTAATCTAAAATTTTAAGTATCACGCAAACTTCCAATAAGACACCGACTGTCTTTAATAATATCTCGTCAGTGATTCTACCAAAGCATAGAACATGAACTGCGTCATTCCATATCTCTTTCTCTAATTTCTATCTCTTTTCTATTCAATCGATAACAATATGTCAGAAAGAGATGGAGATTGGCCGTCTTCAGCTCCTTCCTCTTTTCGTTGACTACAATGATATACTATTTAGATGCGAATGGCGCAGTTCATGCTCTTATGACTTTACATTCTGCATGTTAAACTCATTGCGCGTGGCGCATGCGTATACATAAATGTGTCTTTGAATTAATTGGTTGCAAGTACATACAAAATATAGATATCGATCGATTTATCGAATCTTTTATCAGCTGATTTTAATATGGTATACACACGAGGCTGATTTCCTACATTTTTACAGAACTTTGCATAGAAAATTCTTTTGAAAAATTATTGACGTGCTCAGGTATATGGGTATTTGTGGTATATTATATATCCACTTACCGATGACGGTCGGTTTTTCACACGGGAAGTACTTAAAGTGCGTCCCTCTCGCATGGCTTTTTGCAAACTCGCCACTGCTCGAAAGAAGCTTCCCTCCGGGGTGTCGCAATCTCGTGCTCAACTTGCTGAGCATCATCATCATTTATTTATGTTCCTTTTTCCCCCCCTCTCTCTTTTGTATCGGTTCGTTCAGACAGCGAATCGTTCGCTGGAAGGTCGTGAATGTGTCTTATCTGTAGTTTGCACACAATGCCAGGATTTTGCGGAGGTTCCCTCTCGGTCGACCTCACGTGGAATTTCGAAACGGTGCTCAGGTCGAGGTCGATACGACGCGAGCGAGAGTGCGCGCATACTCGCGCGCGCGCACGCTCGTGATCGAACGATCGTCGCGATGCCGATCGGCGGCGCCCATCGATCGTAACACGCACGAACGGAAACTGGTTTCCTACCGATGTACAACGACGAGGCATCGAGGAACGTAAGCATGACTCAACTAAAACGGGGATAGGATTCTCCGAGGAGTGGGAGAAAACCTGCGATAAGTCGCTGACGTTAGTAATGCTTATATCGTTTATTGTGTGCTCGGGGTGTTTGATTTTGTTTTCAGATCATTAGATCTGTAGCGTCGGTGAGATGTGCTTGACATCCATCGCGCGTTATACGAAAGCGGAGAGGAGAGCATTTTGATATTACGGATTTAAACGAATTACAAAATAACAATGCTGTCTCCAAACAATTTGTCGTTATCGCGCTCTGTTTCCTTTTTTTTATCGTTTTATCGTATTCGATGGCGGATTCTAATGGCTGGATAATTGATAAAAAAGGTATTTATATTTATATAATCTCTACGAACGAGAGATTAAGTATATTTATTAATTTATACTTTTTATTCAATTTTTGCTTAACTTTTTATGTCTTGTGCAGTTCGAATGCCACAAAAAATTGAGATGCTCTTCTGTGTTTTCAATTGATGTAAATTCCTGTTTTATCGATAAATGGTTACAAAGAGAATTCGTAAACGTGGGTGTCAATAGCAGCGAGCTACTTTATCGACTGTAGATCTAAATTTCATGTTCTAAGAATCTACAATCAATAAACGAGACGTGAAAGCAGACTGCAGTCTGCAAACACGGTTGCAATTCTCAGCGAGATCCAGCTTTGGATAGGTATGGGCGAGGGTATGGGGGATTGCCGGAATTGCCGGATACGCGGTGCGCGCATTGTCGGCCATTACGGATTTGTTCTCGTGGACGCGTCGTTCTAGTTCGAGACTACTACGGATTTTTGACGAGTATCTCGTAGCACAAAGGAACCGAGGGCATTATTAAAAGTGTTTGATCGAGAATCCGGATCTTATAAAACATGGAAATGAATAGATCCAGCAACGGTGATTACAAGTACGAGAGAGAGGAAGAGGATGCCGATGATAAACCCAGGTCTCTCGATGAATCTGAGAATCACCAGCTTGACAAGGCTGGCGAGTATATGAATGAGCTCCTGCAGGAAAAGATTGAATTAGACGGGCAGAAATGGCCAAACGCCATCCGATTATTGGATCAAGGTGAGATGAGAGAAATAACCTCCAAGTAAAAATATATACTCTAATAGATAGATGATCTTGTAGACGAGTCCATTCTATCATTCATGATGAGAAACCGCCGGAATCTCCATAATTTTCACTCATAATTAAATTGGATCGAGTATGTGAACCGATGCTTGAATCAGCCAAATTTTAAGATGCAACAGAATTCAGTTTTGAAGACAATGTGTTTGTTTGATTTTTATTGGGACATAATTTAGATTGAGTATAACAATTCAGAAATCTTCAGTCTCTTTGGCATTGTCTGATTATTGGAGTATCTATTATAATTTGATTTCTGGTGGAAGTAATTTAAAAAGAGCAAGTAACTATGCTGTATAGATATTGTTTTGTCTGTTATTGTTACTAATTTTAAAAAAGGAAAAAGTAAAAAAAAGAAGAACAAAGCTGTTATATGAAAAAAAAATTTTTTTTGAAACATAATAGAACGCATATTTTTCTTATAGATATTTTGTATATATCCATTGATTGATTTGAGATAAAAGATTAAATAAAAGAATAAAAATTATAGTAAATTTAATATAAATTAAATAATATTATAATATGGAATAATTAGTGAGAAATATTATAATATGGGACACATGGAATTGAACTCGGGTCCAAATGTTTGATTCACTTCGTCGTGGAGCCACTAAGCACCTTATGATTCGCCTCATATAAATATTATATAGCAAACAACTGTTAATATGGAGCACACATATGAGTGGGATCTAACTTGGGATTAAATGTTCTGTGTCGATTTACTTTATCGTGAAGCCACTATGCGCTTTGGCTATGAGTATAAAGAACTCTTAATTTATCATATTTTTTGGAGACGGTTATGACAAAAACTAAATAGGAACAAAATTTAAATTTTTATTTAAAAATTAAATAATATTTTCTAATTATAAATTTTTTAAATTTATTTTTGTTAAATATAGAATGTTTACATTAGTTTGTAAAGATTTATATTTATGGTCAAAGCTATAGTAAAAATATTGTTTTTTTTTTTTTATTAAGATGTAACGAGTAAATGGTATAACTTCGTTCTATAAAAAAAATATATTTTATAGAAATTCATAAAACAGAAACTATGCGAAGACCGATGAGAGAATCAAAATATGTGGATATTTATCGTGAAAAACATGTTCGTGTCTCTGTCAAAGTATTAATACCCATTCGTGAACATCCTAAAGTAGGTATTGCTATCTACAGTAATCTAAATAAATTTGAAATAAAATTGATTTATGTTATTTTGTTGCTTTAGTTTAATTTTGTTGGAAAATTGCTTGGGCCGAAAGGTAATTCTATGAAACGCCTGCAAGAAGAAACAATGTGCAAAATGGCAGTGTTAGGCAGAGGATCAATGAAAGATAAACAAAAAGTAGGTAACAAAGGAAGACTTATTTTCTTTATTATTTTTTTATCTTTGAAAGTAATTGGTTTATATATTTTTTTTGATGAATCTCTTTTAATCTTAGGAAGAAGAACTTCGTGCTTCCTTGAATTTAAAATATGCGCATCTTTCCGACGATCTGCATGTAGAGATTACGGCTATTGCCCCACCAGCGGAAGCTTACGCTCGCATTGCTTTTGCGCTCGCCGAGGTGCGGAAATATTTAATCCCTGATAACAATGATAATATACGTCAAGAACAAATGCGCGAAATGGAAATGGGTATATCTGACGATACAAACGAGCGCAGACCTTCAATGAGAGGACCTTCAAATCTTGATGTTGGTAATGTACCGAGGCCTTCTGCAAGACAGGGACCTAGACAATCTAGAGGTTAGTTATATGTTTATTATAAAAATTGTATAATACATAAAAGTATGTAAGATCAAGAATCTATTTGTATTTATATAATATTGATTATTTTGAGCTTATTAACAGATATGATATATTACAATTAATATATTTAAATCTTTTATGAGAGATAAGATATGCTTATGTGCATATATATGTATATATATTGTTACGTCCGTGCCGAATGCTCGCGCTGTTTCAAACCGTAGGCGTCCCTTTCATCCTTCGAGGATTATACTTACAACCAGACTCGCTGACCCTCTTCGAAATAAATCCGCTTGGCCTTTTAATCGTGCCAGGACTTGGTTTGTGAAGATTTTATATCTAACCGTTTCCTCACACTTTCATGAATCTCCCCTGGCTTTCTTTTTATTTTATTGGAATAATTATCAAGTAAATCTGACTTCTTAATGTCAGGTGGAGTACCGCGTAACAAATCCACTGTAACCTAAGATCTTGGGCAAGGTAGAGCTCCGCCGGAGACATTCCGCCGCGAGTGTAACAATATATACATATAATACATATGAATTTTATATATGCATATATACAATGATTAATATGTATAATTATTATATATATATAAATTATATTAATTTTTTTAGGTATTTTTCATCCACCACCTGTGAATCGTGGGCCACATGCTCGTGGACCTGCACCATCCAAATCAAAAGTATTCTCAATTTTAGATCGCGCGAGAGCTGCTATGGATCAAGGTTACAAGTAAGTTTAAATTATACACAAAATGTAACAAGATCGCTTCATTAAAATGTGAATTAAATATATTAAATATTCAAATTAAATATTTAAATCTTTTCGTTCTAATAGCTATGATACTCAGAATCCTTCGGCAACAAATCGTGCTGGATCACATCATGATTATGATTACCACGGATCATCAGGTAATAACGCTCGATATGGTGATCGTTATACATCAAATTCTGGGTACGTATTATTATGTTTATTTATCATGATAAAAATAAGAGGAGAAAAAATAATGTATAGTTTAAAAAATAAAAATTCTTTAATATATACACGCTACTCAACAAAATCTAGGGAACACTTTTGAACAAGCTAAAAATTGGACAATATTCAGAACATCGTAATTTGGTGAAAAATCATCGCAGACAAAAAATTAAAAAAGAATTTTAAAGGTTGAAATCTCTTCTTTCGAAATCTATAATTAAAATTTCAATATGACTGATATTTTACGGAGTTATACGAACATAAATGGATAATGTCAAATCTAAAAAATTTTCACAAACTTTACAAAGTTCTATGGCGTGAGGTAAGAATTATACGAAAATACGGTTAGAAGCAGTCGAAAGAGTGAATCTTTACCTTCAATTTGCTTTTTTACTGAACGTTGTTCAGTAAAATATGACTTTTTTTTAACTCCGTAAAGTATCAGTCATATTGAAATTTTAATTATAGATTTCGTAAGTAGAGATTTTAATTTTTATGATTTTTCACCGAGTTATGGTGTTCTGAATATTGCTCAATTTTTAGCTTGTTCGAAAGTGTTCCCTAGATTTTGTTGAGTAGTGTATATAAAAATTTTAGTATATTATAATATGAAATTTGAAGTATAATATAAATTATAAAAATTACTTTCTTTGTAGAGACGGATATATATTTCTTTATTTATGAAATGCAATTTTATATATAATGTTCTTTTTATATTATAATTATTTGCTATGTAATAGTTTATATTTAATAGAGGAAAATTCCTTTTTTAAGATACACGACTTACGAATACGATGATGATTCTGCACCACATTCGTCTCGTGATTATTACGAATCTTCTGATTATGCAGGTAAACTGTTATATTTATTATGTATATTTGCCTGATTATATTGAAAAAATTTTCGTGAAGATATATTTTTGTGATTTTTACTTAATAATGAAAAATATTTCTTATTAGGTATTGCATATTTATTTGAGTATTTTAAATTATTCTATAAAATTTATTACTTATTGTAGTACTTGTTTTCTATTTATGATGTGTGAACTCTTCTAACTTTTCTAAATAATATAAATCTTATTATGCTTACGCAGGGTTTATTATATCACATTAATTTTATTATATAAATTTTACAATATAAATATACACAAATAAACACTCGAGGAATTGTTGAAATTTATAATTATTATAAATTAGAATTATTATATATAATAAGTACTGTATATATAAAAATATCATTAATGAATTTTATAATATTCATGTGCTTAAAACCGAACTATAGAAAGCTTTCATAGGAATTATTATTATTTTAAATTATAATTATAAACATCTTTGCCAAATTAATTACTTTTAAACCCCTAATAATTATATAAATAAATCTCAGGACTAAATAATGCCTTTATATGATTCGATAAAAATTAATAATATTTAAGAAATTTTTACTAAACTCCTTTTATGGAAATTAATTTTTAATATGATTTTTAACACAAAAACATTGTCTTTTACTTAAGGGGACGTTAGAACCAAGTTATCAATATTTCAGTCGTATAAAAATCTCCGAATTGAGATAGAATGAAATAAAAAATCCTTTTACGGGATTATAGTAGACGCAAAATTAGAAGGTGGTGTAGTGCGCTTTATACTAAAATAGAAAAAAAGCTCATTTAAGTTTTTTTAATTTTATTATAAAGTCTATTGCATCACCTCTTAATTTTGTGTCTATTTTAATCCTGTAAAGGGGGATTTTTAATTTTATTCCGTCAATTCGGAGATTTTTATATTACTATTATGTTGTATAAAATAATAATTTGGTCACTCCAAACATTCTTTTGAATCAGATTACGTGCACATAAGAGAGAACTGCGTATATGCGTGTACATACACATACGCGCGCGCTTACACACATACACACACAAAAAAAAATATATATATATACATACATATATAATATAAATATATTACATATAATGTAAAAGCATATAATATACAGGTATTTGGAAGTTAAATAGCTAAACTTCGGGGAGCATGTAGGGGATCGATAAACTAAGAAAATAAGTCCTGTAGAGATTGCTCGTTTTTGCTTCGTTTTGAAGAAAATCGTGAAAAAGGCAAAATGTAGTTGTTTTGTTCTTGGACATGAAAGAGTAATAAATCTTGGCCACTACGATCACCTGATTTGATATTGGACTTCTTTGTGTGTGTGTGTGTGGGAGGAGGAGATTCTAAAGTAGGAGGTTTATATTGTTAATTAACTCAAGGAAACAATTGCGAAATCATATCGTGGTTGCAGTACACCATATCACCAGATTAGTGTTTGACTGCAACACGAGCTGTTCGTACTAGATGCAGTGCTTACATTGCAAGAAGCCAACATTTTGAACTATATCTACATTAAGCAAGTGAATAAATATAACGTAAATAAATAATAAAAAAAGTACAAAAATGAAAACTACATTTTGTCTTTTTTTGCGATTTTTTCCAAAACGAAGCAAAAACGAGTATATCTCTACAGGACTTTTTTTCTTAGTTTATCGATCCCTTACACGCTTCCGAAATTTGGCCATTTAAATTTCAAACACCCTGTATAATAATTTACATTTCTCAAATTTATGAATCGTGCAATTCAATTGAAGTATCAGGAGCGTAACTTAAATTTGCTATAATAAAATTTAAACCCTGCCGTAAACTAACAAATACGTGTATGCATGACTATAACAAATAAACATTAATGTCGCATGATGACACATAGCTGTCTTTTAAGAATTTGAATAACTTGCTATACTAAGGAATTACTATCGTGTTTTATCTAAATAATTAAAGCGCATCAATCCATGTAATTCGCAGACGAGTCGTCGAGCCGCGCTTGGAAATCTTACAAGACTACAACGACGTCAGGCGCAGCCTCGCGTTACCGCACTACCCCATATACACGACCTTCCAAGTAAACACCTACAAAAAAAAAATAAAGCATTATAAACTTTCTTTTTAGTTATCCATACTCCTCTAAATGTTTTTTCTGACATTATTATTTCATAGCATTGTTGCTAATCCGTTGACGGCTGATCTTCCTTATGCACGGCGGCCTATAATGCCCAATATGCAGAAACCGATAAACGAAAGAAATCGTCCTTAATCGATCGACGAATGAAGATTAATACGGTAATGATACGCAAACATTGACCCATTAAATTCGTAACAAATAACATTAACAGAAATTTAATCTAAGAAAGAGTTAGTCTCGTTTAATTTCTTTTCTTGTAAAAAGCTAATAGATTTTTAACAAAATGGAAGACTAAATTGTCTCTCGCTCTGTTCTTATCTCAGTGATAAACGCTACATTTGAATTTTTTTTTATCTTTTTTTTTTATAATGGATTCAATAATTTTCAGATTATTTTTCGCGGCCACTGGATAAACAGGAATGTATAAACCTAATCTATTAAAATATACCCCATATAGAATTTACACATTAGTAAAAAAATATTTTCAATCAAAAACGCGATATTAATTCCTTCGAAAATTTTACTCCATTACTTTATAATATAATTTTAATTCAATGTACCTAATTTTCTATAAAACATTAATTCCATTCCTTCAGTCCTTTTCCTAAATTTTTCAACTGTAGATGGATTTAATTATTGACACGAAGTAAAGGACCAAGAAGATCGTTGGGATAATTCAAAATAAAATATTCAAAGTAAAAGACTTTGAATAAGCGATTAATATTAATTAACTACATAAAATGAAACATGAATTTGAATTTTATAATCGCCATATTTAATATTACGTATACAAGTTAGTCTGAATTAGAGGCTTATAGATAAATCTAATTATTTTTTTGTACTTAATGTCTTTTATAATTCGAAAATAACTTAAACGGGACATTAAAAAAAAATCTAACGTTTAATTTTGACGTGACTTTCGAACAAAATATGTATAAACATTTATTTTCTAATTATTCGAACACGATACAATTAAGATGTATATGTATTAAGATATTTGAAACATCAAAATAATATTTCATTGTAAAGAGAATAAATTTACCAATTTAAGTTTTATACAATATAACTTTAATGTTAAAATCATAAAATGATATGCAAATAAATTGAATTTTACTATACATATAATAAAACTTGCACAGAGAGCCTCTATTCATTAAATTTAAAATGCATAATATGTAGACTTACAAAAATATATTAACAATCTGTATCATCTAATATGTAGAGCAATGCAAGATTATGCTAAACTATATAATGTTATAATATATAAATTCATCAATTTCCAATATATGAGTATTTTAAAAGTATGTAGACTGTAAACCTATCATTAAAATAATATGTAATATGTAATCTTCAAAAACTGAAATAAATATGAAATAATAATATCAAACATTTGTTTTGAGAAATACCAAAATAAATTTCCCAACCAGTAATAAAGCTAAGAATTTAATAATTCTTAATAAAAATATTTGTGCGTGTGTATAATTTTACTCCCAATGAATACTGTAAATATTTAAAACCATGTATTATTTCATAAATAATTATCATCAAGATATTTACGTAAAATGTTCATGAACGTTTTAAATGCTTTTAATATTATAACGTATCATGTTGAAAACAATTTATAAAAGATATGAAATATAATTTCGATTGAATATATAAATAAAATTAATAAAAAATGTATACGAAAGATATTTTTTTACCAAATAATTAAATTTTTTATGAATATATGTATATAGTATGCGAAATAAAGTTAATAAATTAAAATATTTAACACAAGGGAGTTTCAAAACATTAATTTATAGAAATGTCATTAAAAATCATTTATAATTTCACTTTTATTTTATTCTAATATTATTATTCATATATTTCTCATAGGTGGGTAAAAGATGATGAAGATCTTTGATCATGAAGATCGTGTGGGAATAACTTTGATCATAATGGACTTTGAAATGCCACGAGTACATTTAAGTATAACGCGTGAGTATATATAATATATATATTTATATTTTATTTACAATTTCTACAATTATGAAAGTCAGATATGAAAGTGTAACTTCAATCGTCTCTCTTTTTTTTATTTTCTATAAGAATAAGTGATATATATTAGGTACTTGAATTAATTCTCGCTGTTGACCGGGAAAGGTCGGTATTTGTGCTGTTTCAACATGGCCAAAAATGACTTATGAAAGTACTATCAATAGACTTAAATAATCAGTAATCAGTATATAACATTTGATCGGATGCAAAGAATACAATTTTTTATTGTATTAAAAATGTCGGGTTTTGTACTAAAAAAAGAGCATTTGCAGGAAGCGTTACTTTTCTGTTTTAACCTCAAGACATCTGCTGCTGAAAGTTATCGTAGTGGAGGCTTATGAAAAGCATGTTCTATCTGAAACAAGATTGCAGAGATTGGTTTAGAAGATTAAAAACAACGATTTTGACGTGAATGACAAAAAGTGTCCTGGTCAGTCGAAAATATTGAAGCTTTTTTTTTTTTAGCAAAAAACAGCGGAATTAATTCAAGCACCTAATTTTTTGGAATGAATTAAAAAGATTATATTTAATTTATTAGAAGAAATAGTGATTCGCGTTATTTGTACGAAAAAATGGAATATTTAAGAGAAGTACTTATACATATCTGAGTTATTTTCAAGAATATACGTATATATTTAGAAATATACTGGCTAATAAAGATATGGTTTTTATGAATAAAAAATATAAGTATAATTAGAATAGCAACTATTATTTTATATCTTTATTATTTTTTGAAAACTGTTATCATGTGTGTCAGGTTTTATAGACATTATCTTGTCAAAAAATGATTTTGGAAGATACGTTTTAACATTAAATGTTAAATGAATTATTTCAATAAAACTAATTAATAGCTTTACGTTATAAGTGTTATTTCGTTTTATTGTACAACGTCTTACTAGTATAGAATATTTATGTATGTACGTGTAAAATACGTATAATACGTAAATATTATGTGCGTATATATAAAATCGTAAATGTAAGAAGTGTTAGGAATATTAATAGTAACATTGTAATTTTCATTGCTATGTTAAATTGCTCTCGCAACAAAATATTTGATGATATTAGGACGAAAATACAAAAAGATTTCAAAATATTAATAAAAGCATTGAGGAAAATCACGAAATTTTAGGATGAGGAATTTGTGGTACCTATATAGCAGTAAAAAATGATAAAATGATGGTAATTTTTGTGCCATCATAATAACTGATAGACGTTTTATTTAATATAACAGGTAATTATTTTATTACGAGGGATTGCTTAGAAACAATATTCTTATTTATTTATCACACACCAATATACAAAAATGAACTGTATAATCAATATCAGAATATAATATACTACGAAATTCAAATATATTTAATAAAGATATATCTGAGTATCTTACAAGATTAGAATGATGCTTCAACTTGAAACAAAAATCATCTACAACGTTCTTTGCAGTTGGCACAGAAATTCTGGTAGAAAAACGTATTTCTACAACCGTTCTAAGGGTTATAAATAAGTATTAATTTACGGGATTCCTTAGCTTCTAACAAGTCGCATCTAAGTAGTTGTGAGTGAAAATAAGGTGCCGAGTTTTTCTTTTCCCTAACTTTTTCCTAACTAATCCCTCTGCATATGAACCGGGAGCCGTAAAAGATGCTTTGTTCGTTACATTCGTTCGCTTAAAGTGCAACAGAGGGTCGCGTTGAAGCGTCCACGCATCTTGTACCTGTTGAAACGCATGCTGCTGATTTTCGCCGCACTCTGCATAATTACATCTCTCTCTTTATTACGTTACTTATCATGTGCCTCATTTTATTTCGAACAATGTCATAATACCAAATAGTTTTTAACGTGCATTGATGTTTCGGTACATTAGACGATGATCAGCAGAGCGATCTTTAATTTATACTCGCTAACGCAAAATTTCTTCCTGCCATGTGATCTAATTATTAAGGTAAAAAGACGTGATAAAGGTCATGCTGCTGATCACTCACAACAGATGTCTTCTGAATTAATAACATGCTATATTATTAATGAAGAATTGCGTTATTTGCAAAATATGGCGTATAAACGTGAAATTATGTAGGAAGTACGGAATATATCGGAGCGCCAGATTTAAATATTGGAATGCGTTTTAACATTTACAAAACTGTCTTACGCTTGTAGTGCAGAGGCGACTCCACTGTAAACTATACAAGAAGCTACGCAAGTCCCATATGTGTGCTCGAGGAAAATTCGCTTACGAGAAATCTGCGTAGGGTATCCACAAACTCGTGTAAATGGTAAGAATGCGCATGTAAAGGAGTGAGATTCCCTCGAGAGTCTCGTTCTTGGTATAAATAATGTCACATTGGATCTTGGCAACACAGCAGTATGAGTTTTTTTTTATCTAAAAGCTTTGCCAGTCCTAGAGCCGCCTCTAACACCGTGAGAAGACGCGAGTCTTCGTAGCATGGTTCGATCCTACGGCAACGAGCCGGTTACGCTGTACGATCACCCCGCTAATACTTCACTTCTATGAAAAAACATGGAATGTATAGTGTATTTTTTATCGGTTTACACCTTAATAATGTGTACGATTATATCACAAGAAAGATTCAAATATTCTGTACATAATCCACTACGATGCAAAGCGCCCCGGTGTCAAGGTCGCTTCTCCTTTCTCTCTTCTGCTCTTATCTTCTCTTTCCCGCTTTATTTTTAATCTTACATTTATATATATATTTATATATACGCCTAAGATTTAATTACAAAGTTAGATATGTCTCAGGTTCACCTGGTATTGTACTTCATACAATTTCTCGTGACTGGCGGGTCCGAGATGCGGCCGACGATCATATTTGCGCGTCGCTCTTGAGGAGACTTCTATTTTGTCATCCGTGTGCTCGAGAAAACGCTTGTTTTCGTTGCGCTGTTACCGCGTTTTCTCTGCGTATGGTTTCCTTAGTCGCCAGTCGCTTATGTTAATAGCTCGATATTGATAATTGGCACATTTTTCAAATGGCAAGTTTCGCATTGGCACGATAATGGCCCTGAAGAATAGCCTTGAGAGCAGTCTCTTCGGAGGAGAATCATTGATAACAAGTGCGATCGAATAGTTCTTATTTTTAAAATTAAAAATCTTATTTTTAATAATAATAAATTTTTTTCCTGGTGATAAATAATGAATCTTACAGAGGTTCAAAAATAGCATAAAAATATTGTGTGTGTGTGTGTGTGTGTGTGTGTAAACAGAAATATATAAATAATATATTAATTTAACAACACTATTTTCAAACGTTTAGAGACAGGATAATCTCGTCAGAAGGACTTCAATCTTGGCGATTCCCTGGACTTAACGTCGTTCCTGACTATCACGTGAGTGCACCTAAAGAAAGGCAAAATATCTTTGCTGTGGCTAATCGCACGGCGTCCCATTAAGATTAATACCAGTAGATGACTAAACTGATACATTGGTTGCCGAGGACTAAGTTGCACTTTGATACACGACTGCTTCTGATTACACACAAAGAATTGCTGGTCCAGGTAAGTCTCATTGTTGGAAGCACGGCTTTTCTAATAAGAAAGTAAATTATATCTAATTATTCCATAAATCGTAAACTAAACAAAAATGTACATTTTAAAAAAATCGAAAAAATAAATCTCGATTTTGTTCCTTCATATTTTCTAATTAATGAGGAATCCGTTTTTTTTTTTGTAATTTAAAACGATCTACAGATTTTATCTTCCATGCGGATTGTTTACTAATAATTATAAATTGTAGATAATTGGATTGCAAGTTGCAGGAAATAATTGTAATATAATACTAACAGTTTGTTGAATTAATATTAATGATTGCACTAAGTTTCTCGAATTTTCCGACTATCATAAATATTTCGCGAAGTTATCTTCAGCCTATCTCTTCACAAATCACAATTTTTTACGTGAAGTATACAATAAAAACAAAAAATAACGATGCGAGAGAATCAAATAGGATCTTATATTTTAATATTTATCGCATATTTTTATCACATCCATTGTCATGATATAATTTCTGGGTACTGGGTTTTTAAATTTACTTATAGAATGATAAAAACATAATTTTTCTATTTTCACATATTCTAGTATTTATAATTATGATATTCTAATATTTAATTCTGTAATATTTAATCAAATTATATTTATGCAGTAAAAAAGATGAAAGGTCAAAGTAGAAAATGAAAATCTTATTGTTTATCTCTATTTATGTAACAAATTTTTAGTTTTTCTTCTCAGTACAGAAAACTTTATCTGCCACGTGTTCAAAAGTACGCAAAATAATTTGGATGTGATGTACGTTACGCATTGAATCGCGATTACTTAAGCGGTTTGATCTGTTATATTTGTGGCGAATCATCGGTGAAATAGAGAGAGAAGAGGGCGGATTATATAAATCTTTGTAAAAATCGTAGCTGCATACCTTTGACCGTTTTAAAACTCCGGAAGGTCTTGTTTATAAAGACTATTTGTATTTTTAATGCTTTTCTCACGTATGGCTAGGTACACTGTACCTGAACTAGATATTCTTTTTTTGGAGAAAATCTAAATATAAAAGTATACCTACAAACACATCCAGCCTTAATATATTTCTATATAGCACAAATATCCAACAGATATTCTTAGGTATATATTTTCTGTATATATTAACGTTTTTGTTTATTAACATGATTTTTTTGTATTTCTATATTATAAAGATTTCTTATAAATTAATATATTAAAATTTCAATACACAACATTTCTGAAAAAAAAAAATCGAGAATCAGTTATAAAATACATTAAATGTATTTTAAAGAATGTTTGTGTTACTTTCTTGAGAATATATTCAAAAATATCTATTGGATATCTATAAGATGTATAAACTTGACTCTTTTTGTTTTATAATGCATGTTTAATGTCTATTTAAAATTGGGTGTCGTCCCGTTTTAACTTTCATGTCAAAATATCTTCAAAAGTATAACAGCTATGTTTTAGACAAAAGTTGTATAATTTAAAGGGGGTTAATAAATACATATAATAGTAAAATCAGTTTTTAAAAAATTAACTTTTTAAGGTTATCACTACTTTTTTTAAATAAAAAAAGATATGATTTTTTTATCTAATATAATTTCTTTTATTATTCTACATATGAAAATATTAAGGTAACACTCATGAAAATTCAATAATTTATGATATATATATATAATATATATATACACACTCTATTTTAACATATTTTAATATAAAGTATTTCGTAAAATATTAATCTTTCGTCCAAAACATTTTTCTTTTACACTTCTCAAAATATCTCGATACAAAAGTTAAAATGAAACCACCTGAGTTTACTGTTTACAAAAATGACTTTCTAATTGTTTAGCAAGATCGTATCAATAATAATTTATTTGCGCAGCTGAAAATTGAGGAAAAGTCTTGAAGATTTTCATAGGCAGAGAGGTCTCTTAGACACTCTTGTTAGGCATTTTCAAGACAACGTATAAAACGAATAGAATCTATACCAAAGGCGACCAGCGACAAAGAGTTGAGCTCCTTCGGCTTCCCGGGGTTCCGTTATGAAATAAGAATTTTTCTCTCCTCTGTTTCCTATAATTCATCGACTATCCCTGATTGCACATTTTCGCACGTATCACGCAGTCTGCGTGTTGAATTGCCTACGGAAGCTTACGACCAGCCAACCTCGGCGTACGGTGGGCACGCGCGGCACGTCACACGCGAGTGCCATCAGCGTGTGCGACGCGAACGCGTGTGTACGCGTGGTCCATTGCGGGCTTTCCGCAAGAGCGATGGACGCACGGAAGCTCAATTGTACGGCCAGGAATGCCTAATAGATGTGACCACGTTCGAGGTAGGCGGGTCTTCCGTGCGTCACTTCTTCATGTCGTTCATCAGCGCGCTGTCCTTACTTTTGTTGGAGTCGAGATTCGACTGTTGACTGCTCGTCACACCGCTACCGTTCCCGGGATACATCTTCTCTAGATGATTCAAAGACTCGCTTAGGAACTTCTGCAACGGGAATCATGAGAGATTTCAGTAGAGTCGTATTGTTAGACGAGAAATCTTTAGCTGTAGATTTAAACAATTTTTAGAGAAGAAATTTTAGTTTCTTATCATTTGTAGATTGTTAGATTCGCGAGAAGATAAGAGAAAACGATAATACATAAGAAAATAACTTCATCGTCTCATTACCTGTATAGCCGTTAAAGCGGCCACGATTGCAGGACTTCCGAATCCGTGTGATATGAGAGAAAAATGGGTGAGATGTCTCTGTATACTGGGATCGAGGATATGTTGTGGCCGCGTATTGCAGAGCGGCGATCTGTCCTGATTCAAAAGATCCATCAGCTCTTTGGTGATTTGTCTGGAAATAATGAAATCGTAAAAAACTCTTGTGTCATACATAATGAGAGGCGATCTTCGGTTGACTGAGTATGATTTTCGATCTATTATTAATGTACGCAACAATTATTACTTTTTTATCTCAGGATATACGAATCAAGTAGCCGAAACATATAATATTTTAAGTCTCAATTTATATATATTTTTAAATTTATTTTGTTATTTTTTGCAATTGGTTTTAAATATTACATTTTATATAATCTTTATATAATTTATAATTTTAAATAACGTTTAATTGACTCTTAAATATCCTTTCTTTTTATCACTAATTTTTTTAAATTGACAATTTTTATTAGTAACCTGCGTAAATACTAAACTGAATGCCAAAATGTTTGAATATTTAAAAAAATGTACTCTATAGTTAGTGTAAAAATGCCGAATCTTATTTGAGGAACTCTAGTGTTTATACTTACTTGGTGGCATGAAGAAGTTCTTTTCTCCTGTAGGAGTCTTGTGGTTCGCAATGCTGCCGACTGAGATATTCGGCGACTTGCTTCGCGGGGAATTCGGTTTCGCAAACGTAGCCAAAGTCCCTGGCAAGGTGAATGGCTTCTCCTGAAAAGAATAAAGTATTCACGTATAATACGTGCATGATGCTATTATGTAAACTGATTACGCGCGAGGATAATAGTCGATGAAACAATCGCGGAATTTTATTTCAATTGTGAAACGCTATTCATCGAATTCCGAATTGTTCAACTCAAATTTATTTTGCCAGATTTATTTAAAAGAGAGATTCATAGAATCCCATCATTAAATGTAAACGCTAAACACGAGAAGAAAAAATTTATTAAGAAATTATAGCAGATTCGTTAGAACAAATCTTTGGATGCTGCAGGCAGAGCAAAATTAACTAATTACAGTTAATAAAACGCGCATTCTCTTCAACGCGCCATCCTTCCCTTTTTCGAGCCTCCCACTTTCCACCCTTTTGCAGCACATTCCTTGCAACTTTTCTCGTAGTGTGATGGAAGGTAATTAGGTAGCTGTATGTATATGTTTTATGTGCAAGTAGGGTCTTTCATGCAAGCTGGAAGTAGACCCGCTGAGCGCTATTATCGATGAACCAAGCAAAGCCACCCGCAGCTATACGCCGCTTGTGTATCACCCACGAGATCGGAAACGCAGATCTACAAACGGACAAAGCCATTTGCAGTTAACGAATTATCCGATTTCGCAATCTTAGCCACTGTTTCTTTTTTTTTCCTCTCTATGTAACACAGAAAACAGATAAATTTTTCTTACACGTGGAGATTATTGAGTTTGGAGAAACTGACGAAATTCTGTTGCAATAGTCACAGCAATTAAACGCTTTTTTGTCGTCTCTTATTCTAAAATAAAATAGAAATTATCTTTTTTTTTTTCTTATAAATAAGAAATAACAAGAGTTAGTTTCTTTTTAGCTAAATTTATATTTACGATGCTTGAAATTCAATTTACATGAAACAATCTGAAGTCGATCAAAATTAATGAATTATGCTGCATCTTTAACCTACAGGGAACATGAGATTCCAAGTTGTCGCTTAATTTGGGTTTCGGGAAGAAACGAGGATTCCGCACGCGAGAATCCTTACACGCGCGAATTCTTTACACGAGAACACCACGAACATGTGAACGATCGTACTAGCAATGTCCCGGCATATCTGCGGAAATTCTCTCACATATTAATAGACGTTTAATGATGTTCTAAGTATCGGATTCAATTTCGGATGCGGGAAATAATGAGATTTTAGCAAGACCGTCGTACATGACCGACAGCCTTCTAATTTCGATAAATAATGGCCGCATGCAAGATTGTTGCTCGCGTAAGGATCTTGCACGTAGCCCTGGGCAATGTAGATCGCCGCAGAAGTTGGAATATTTTCCTTTTTTTGTTTTAATGCGTTACACTTCGGCTTAGGTTGCGCGACATGGTTGAAAATACCATGGGCCTCATAAAATTTAATCGTCGTATCGGTATATGTGAAAGTATACGATGCTTATTGCCTTCAGCCGCACAGATTGTTACTATCAGTCGTTTCGCGGGCAGAGCGACTTATTTATAAACGATGTAAAATTAATTTAATTTACCTGGAGATTTTTACGATTACGTATAATATTTGTTGTATCTGGAGATCCTTACGATATTATGTAAATAGATTGTTTCATGTAAATTGAATTTCAAGCATCGTAAATATAAGTTTGGTTAAAAAAAACTAACTCTTGTTATTTCTTATTTAAAAAAAAAAAGATAATTTCTATTTTTTATTTTAGAACAAGAGACTGGGTCAAAATGAAGCATACACTGGACAGTATATACACACAATTATATACCGTATAACAGTAAATTCTTGAGAGTAACAAAACTTCTCGAGAGTGATAGTTCTTTGACGGACATAATGCTTGCCTCGTTATAGCTTTACGACTGTAAATAAGTCTTAAATTGTAAATAAGTTATTTACGACTGTAAATAAATCTACTCTTGCCGTACATGTCTGCTGGAATAAAAATGTGTCTTATGATTCTTATTTTATCATCGTAAGAATGATGATATAAATAAATTATATGTTAAAGCCGCAGTGTTCGTTCTTCATACGTGTACTATATCTTATATTTATAATTATATGTTTTCGTAAGACGTTTGAAACATTAATTCATTTATTTCACGAAAGAAGTAAACGCTGTATAATTATTTTCAACAATGGTTTGAGATTTCGAATATCGGATTGCTGCTATATATATACATATATACATGATTTGGACTGCACTTTGCATGTACGTCGTTGTTCTATTTTATGTGACATAAATTATAGTTCATGTGGTCGCAACCGTCGTTATTTTAATAGACCGCGCCATTGATCCTACGTGTTTATGTCAGACTTGTCGTAATGCTTTGTGTAGTAAAGTTTTACTGCGGTCACGACAAGAGAGAGAGAGAGAGAGAGAGAGAGAGAGAGAGAGAGCCAATGCGTAGAGCATATGCATTAAGCGAAACGAGATACTGCTAACGCACCTATGAAAAGTATGTAAGTAGTTTGAAACTGCCGACGTTTTACGTTGTTTAAAGTTACACAATGTTGCATGTATAATATTATCACTCGCACTGATTTTACGTAATCCCATTATGCTCTCGCTCAATGTATTCAATAAGAACGGATATACGTAACACGAAATGGTAAAAAAAAAATAACGTTTCTTATATTTTCTACGTAAACTGCAAATTACTCATGCTTGATATATGTAATCATTTAACTATGGAACGACAAATACACTTGACGAATAAATAGAGTAGAGCAGAATTTATAATATTTACATGTTTCACAATGATATTTACATGATTTTTTTTTTTAAACTATTATAGTAGATAACTGATGTGAATTCATGTCTCGAGGCACGAAGCGTGATTGAAAACTTCTAACGCACGCATCGTTAGCTATCGGAAAGATCTCTTTCCAATGTGTTTTTGTTAAAACTTAATCTTTATTTTCAATTAGACGGACTTGCCTAAACTAAAAGGTGGAAAAACATGTTTCTCTTTTATATAACTTTAGTTGCGATACAATGAAGACATTGTATTTCAAATAATTAAGAACATTTTTTAAAAAAAAAAAGATTACTCTCAAAATTCTTTATTCCTATCTCGATCACTTTATCGGCCCAAATTCGAGTTGATAAAACAAAAAAATCGACAAAACTAGAAAGGAAACTATCACCTGGGCAAAGAAAAGACCTTTCACAAGTATCCCACGATGTGGAACGTCGAGCGGATATAATATTATAGTTTCATGCAATATTTATCTACCACACGGATACACCACGTGTGTTTTCGCCGTCGCGTTTTCTACGGAATTCTCGTATTAGGCGCGCAAAACCGACAGTAAGTTAACTATCGGCGATCTTATCGACATCGTTGAACGTGGTGCAAATTTCCACCCCCTCGCCCCTCAACCTCTGCATGAGATGCAACAGGTCGTTTCGGATACGCTTTAGCCTGCCATGGGCAACTCTTCCGCGCGGATTTGCATATCTCCCTCCATATCGTATCTCTCCTTCTTCTAATCTCTTTAAGTAAATTAGCGTGTCTGTCGGCGTTACTTTACCGATATGTGCGCGTTGCGAAATTCATGATTATGATCGCAAATGCGAATATATGTCTTGCGTTTTATCGCATTGTATTTTCCTCTTTTGAGAGATTTTCTTTGCGCATTTATTTGGATGGTTTTCCCAATTAACTTCGTAAATTTCGTTTATTAATAAAGTAATTTTTGATAAACTTAAAAGAAGAATGAATACCCGATAGACATCGTTATGAACAAAAAGTTTAAGAATCAAATGGTACAACATGCGTTGTTTTAATGTAGAATGAACTGTATAAGATTAAAAGATCATTAATATCTCGCTTGTCATTGCTGTACCAACCGGTCGTTTAACTGGTTTGGATAATTTGTTTCGAAATGAAGAGTTAATCATTCACTTATGCTTCAAGGGGAAGCACATTTTAAGAACATCGACGAATATTCGATTAAACATATTGCTGAGGATGGCTAAAAATGACTAATTATGTAATTACTTATCTTAATAGAATTTTTGTTTACAGCATTGACTCTAAATTCCCCTCATTATCTTAGTATTAGATTTCAAATTTCAAGAATCCTGACTTACTTTTTGTTTATGCAGTAAAAATACCATTTATTTGTTTTGTTTATTTAAATAATATACATTTAGAATTATACCCAAATGTGAATACATATTGCGTTTCATATTTTATCAATTGTACTCTATTCCTTTGAGGTATTCTTTTTACGCCTTTGGTATAGCATTTATTCGGAGAACTGTTCATCAATTTAACGTAAAGTATTAATGATTTTTTAAGTTATTTGTTTTGTAAGTTCTATCCTATATTAATAAGTAATCTTCAATTTAGAAGGAAATGAGTATCCGATAGCATGAAATATCTGGCATCTATTTAATCGTAATACATATATATTATATCATATTACTTGGAGTAATTAAAACGTACTGCTTTAGTAAAAAATAACTTTACAAAAATCTATTTTGATTAAAAGGTTATTAATATTTTACTGATTGACATAATTTAATACAAATTAACCAATGCAAATCGTTTTAATGTCGAAATAAAATGTTACAGCGTGTAATGTATTAATATCGTTAATCCTATTCGATTCGACGACGTGACGCGAAGGAATGTCCGGCTTATCGAGTACGAGGGAATATGACTCAATAAAACGAAGGGACTTGCAAACCGCACGCCGCAGATTACCGCTAAGGGAACTCGCTCAGATGGAAGATCTAGATTAGTCGTGTGCGAGTAAACGAGAACGAGCGGGTAACGTGACTCGCGCGAATTGTGTGATGAACGGCCGGTGCTGCTTGACGACTTCACCGTGTCGATCGCAAATCAATGGACAGTATGGACAGCCGATCAAAAGCTGTGCAATGACGCGCGATGGCGTCAGCAAAAAGATTGATCGGGAAAATGCGCTTCATTATATGGGCGAGTAATTGCATTTTTTATTTCTCGTCAGCAGCACGTGCTGATGTCAGATCGTGCATGTTCAAATCTGATTTCGAACGGATCTTCAGTTCAATTTTTGTAACTGAATGATTAGAAGCTTAATTTAGGGTATTCATAAAATTCGGAAAGAAAAAGTATCGTGAAGAAAGCTGTTTATTGAACGAACATTTCTGTTAGTCTTCTCTTTTCACACGCTGAACATCTTATGTAAGAATATTATTGCTTATTGAAATAAGAAGCAATATTAATAAGAAATATTCTTCTAAAGTTCGAAAATGCAAGAAACTATAATAGATGTTAAATTGTAAGAACTATTGTCGATATGTAATGGCATTATAAATAATAATGTTAAAAAGAAAGATCTCGCGCTCGGGATATTAAAAAGAATGATACTAACGTAACGTACTAAAGGTTTCTCTATTTTTGTTTGTAAATATTCTTCCATAACAAGTCTCATCGAACGATCGTTCGAATCGACCGAACAATATTCGTAGAAATTTGCTTGCCGTTTCAAAGGAAGACCGGTGATAGAACAGCCTTATTCGTCTCTGAGTTCTGTTACGAGAATAGCCAATATGATGCGCTCCATCTCGGCCTTCGACCGCAAATCACGTTCCATTATACGTCCTGATAATCGAACCTGCGAGAAAGATTTCGGGAATTCTCTTCCGCGTACCGAGATCATCGTGTTCCGATATACCCCTTGCGGTTTCTCATACCGGTTAAAACTTCGCAACAAGTCGGCTGCGGTTGACGTATACTGGCGTGTAACGCGTCTAAAATACGCATTCCTCGATCCCTGTGCACGTTACTTTGATGCAACTACGAATTACACGCTGCCCTAACCGTTCTCAAATTTTTAGGTCGCGATGTAAAACGTAACTGTACACTTATTAAACATAAAATTAAACCAAACTATTAAATATGAAATTAAAGTGAACATGTTGGCCAAATCAAATCTGAGTATATAAGTACCTTAACGGTAATTTTATACGTAAATAATCTTAATGATGATCACACAAACGGAACTACACACGTACACAATGTAAGATTTGTCCTTCCTCTAATAATGATTTGCTAAGTCAATTTTATTATCTGTAATAAATAAAATATCAGACGTAAATCTAAAGGCAATTAAAAATATTTTAATCTTAGAAATTAAGCCTCGTTTCTTATATAGAGTTCAGTTTTATTGTCGAATTTTTATTTGAAGTGTGCCACACTTTCCAGATATTCCATCTAGAGCCGCAATAAACGGTCTCGTCTCATATATATTCTATTTTTACAGTTCTCAGAGACTCGTGTATATCTCTTTAATTTAAACATAAGAACACGTTGTATCACTGTGCGATGATTAGGCGCGAATTTACGTATGAATTACGCAACCATAAGCGACAGCTATACGTACGCACATAAGTGTATGTACACCTACGTCTTTCTCATTCGTCGCGTATAAATTCCCACACTTTCGCCGTACTCTATAAACATCTTTCATGACATTCATCAAAGGATGAATGTCCTACTGTTCTTGTTAAACAAATCGTTGCGTAACAATCATTGCATTAGTAGAAGAAATATATATATATTTTTTTTTACGCACATGTTTTGACATGTTCTTCTCGCTTTACTCTATATATAATTAGAATATATATAATTAGAATAATACAAAAAAATTTCAAGAGACATATATATTCAATCATCTTTTTCTCGGTGATCGATAAACTAATGTAAGACAGGAATCGACATTACAACAGTGATTTGCAAATAGAGAATTGACGCAAGCAGAACGAGAAATAAGGAAATACATTCATCTGAAAAAACCATTGTAACGTTGCAGTGGCCTGTTTTTTTAATGAATGAATATATTTTTCTTGATTCATTAACCCTGATTTATTGGTTCGCTATATATCGGCCAGAGTTCATTCTTTTTCTTATCTTAAGTAATTATCACTTTGCCTGATATAAATGAGAATATTAAATACGAAAGAAATATTGATCCTTACGACGAATAAAAACGATGAAATATAATGTGACTCTTTATCGTGGTATAATGTGATTTAGTTGAATTAAAAAAATCATGTCTGTTTCTTTTCAAATCAATTTATTGTAGATTTTCAATGTAAATTGTACAGTGTAAAAAGTGATGTAATTAAAAAAGCAACTATTTTTTCTCTTTTCTTAATTACAAAAATAATGTGAATTATTTATCATAAAATCGATAGTTGAATTAATTTATTTGTATAACTAGTTTATTCTTCTCTATCTACTCATATATGATAAATTACGAATTGAAGTTTTTAAATGATATCTCTTAAGAATTATTATAAGGCTGTATTATTCACAGAAGATTGCATTGGTCTGACATAAACCTAAAACGCGAGACTCGCATTGAGTTTATTATTATGTTCCGCGCATATAAAAAGAATATCACGAGCATTGTGTCGTTAGTTCATCACTACTATTTACTACAGCTTCTCTATCATTAAAGCGCGATAAAGGCTCAAGTAGCAATTAAGAAACGGGATCGCCGCAAAGCTGTCGCAAATTTATATGTTTACGGGTGCATTATACGCGATTTTTGATCGCTTAATGACAGTGATTGTCCTAATCTCACGAGAGGAGCGATCCTGTATGCAAATGGTAATTATATGCGTATTTGAGCTTCTTCCCTTGCGCGGTTAGCTGAACAGGAAAGATGAGATTAACGAGCCACATCGATGAGCGCGATAAATTATTTTTTATTTTATTCTTTTTACTTCTTTTTTAAATACGAGAACGCTCGTGTATGATGGGAATTCAAGGAATAGTCAGTTTTGTCAGCTTTATCAAAGTTGTTATTAATTTGCAATCCATGAGGTATACATACTTTGATATCATTAAAACATATACCAGTAATGTTCACTTTGTCCGACAGTTAATAATAGGTATAAATCGATAGGTCGGTTTATGCACAATTTACGATATCGCAGCAATGCGACGATTGACAGCAATAAAGCTGCTGGCGCGGTAGATTGTAGCAAAAGGACGATTTATTTATCTTATTTTTACATCGAAAAACGCTAATCGACGCATTGAGTTTAGTATTTATTCAAGATTTAGACGCGCTGTAACTTTATAATAAATATCAGGTTGCAGAAAGTTTGGACGATGTGTTAAAATATATTTTTATCTAAACCAGATATCTATTTTCCTTTTTTCATCTTTGTTTTTTGCATCTTATGTGTATAATTGTATTGTAATGTAATAACTGTACCAGCTGCTCATTTTTTTTTGTAATAATGTTTGTACACTTTACGGGATGTAGTCCCACAGTGTCTAATAAATGACGAATCTGATTTTCATTCTAATACATTCTTTTTTTTTTTAGGGCATATTTTGTTCATTCCGTCCGAGTAAAGTGCAGGACTCAAATCTCGACGGGTTCTTCAGTTGAGAAAGCGTTACAGCGCGTGTCGCCGCTGAGCGTGGCCGCTGCTTCGCACCGCGCCTCGGAAAGAAAAGCACGGTCGATGTTTTATGGAAGCCCCGCCGACCATAAATTATAATCAACGTCCGTGCCAACACTCTAACAAACTTCCAGGCGCGTCATTAGGGCGGCTGGTACGGCGGAGGTGCGGGAAGGCGATTGTACGCGCGTATGCATTTGTTGCGCGCTCGTTATTAAGCGCTCTCTCGCGCAGATGGGATATTCCGTAGGAGTCTCTCCTTGTCTATCCTCCTCTTTCTCTCTCTGATTAGCCTCGCGCAATGTCCTGTATCCGGTGCAAAAAAGCTTGCACTCGTTGTTACTGTCATAATGCGGAAGGACGAAGACGATGTCTCTAAAGTTTAGGTACGTGGTTCGTCTTTGATGAACGTCCGGGAGAATCATTCAGAGATGAAAGCGTAGTGAATCGAGTGGATCAGAAAAAGCAACAAGGAAGTCGAACTTCTAAGTGTTTTTCGTCTTCGGAATTAACCCTATTAAAGATAAAATGATTGTCAATTTTTTTTTTTAAATTACTCAAATTTATAATGGCGTATTTTCCGAGATCTTTTGTGACTTTTGTTCAATATATAAATAACTAATTTCTACCAATGTAGATTTTATAATCTAGGTTCAACTTACTCTTCATCATTTTTTATTCTTAGGCGCAGTTCCACAACTCACGGTTAACTCATAACCGAGGTTGTACTTATTTCTCATTTCTTTCCAATTCTAGAATCTCGGTTAAGAGTTAACCGTAAGTTGTGGAACTAGGCCTTAGAAATAGAAAAAGATGAAGAATTAGAGTTAAACCAAGATTAAAATTAAATTAAGATTAAATAATTTCTACATTAGTAGAAACAGACATAAGTAAATTGATCGCTTTACTTTCTCTCTATTCATCCTTCCTTTAATATTATATATGATACACACATATGTATATATCATACACATATATACATACATATAATATATATATACACACACAATATAATTAAATAGTAGAAATTAATCATCGATAGTTTTAACGTTAATTGCCATAATTGAAAGCTATAATTACGAAGACAAGTAAAATTTGTTCTTTAATAAAACAAATATAAAAGAATTAATATTTAACGTAGACAGAAAATCCTTTTCGAATTAAATGCCCGCATTTAGCGTTAAATGTGAAATGGTAGATTCTCAATGCTTATTTCCTTGCAGCACTTTGTTCGTCGGTTGTTCTACGTTGCAAGGGACCAGTCCTGCGTATGGCTAAACAAAAATCCATTCAGCTGTTTAAATGACTCATTCAGGATGATCATCAAGCGTAGACCGTGTAAATTCGCTTTGATGCGCGTGCTATTCCGAAGAGATGATTTCATCACTGTGCCCTACGAGACAAGTGGGCGTCGCAAGGAATGTAATTCTTCGGAGTCAGGCGGAGGAGGGAGGTGCAAGACGCAAACGCGAAGAGGTAACCTTCTACAAATTGCAATGGTAATAAATCGAAGAATGTTACATTTAAGAGCATTACTCGTGATAAATTGTTGGGAAAACGCATAATTATACACGGTTAATCATTAATACATTGACCACTTCTTATGGTTCTCATGATTAATAAAAATAAAAATTCCAGGGGCAAATTTACATACACTATAACATTTTATACTCTACACCAATCGAACTAGATAAATTAAAAATATGATTTGTATTTAAACGTGCAATAAGAAAACATGTTAATATAGCTCTTTTTTTTGTTGAATATTTTTCATTGAGATGTGTGTTGTAAACTAAAATCTAAAAATACAAAAAGATTCACAGACGCATGATTTTTTAAGAAGTTAAAAATAATTCCAAAAATTTACTGAAGAAAGTTTAAATTTATTAATTCGACGACGAAATATCTCGATTCAAATCAAAATTTAATATAAATTCACACGGAATTGTAATTAGCACCTAAGATGCAGCTCAACCGTTAAAAGGCATTTTCTTATTGGTTAAAATAATATTCTTTCTTAAAATACAGCAAGAAAAATAGCAACTGATAAAATTATAATGTTATACTAATGCACAGCGGAATGTAAAAATTCCATGTAAACATTGTGGCCGCATTACGGAATTGGAATACGTGTAAGGGAAGCTTCCCGTTTGGTTGTACGTTTTTGTCGTTTATACCGGATACGATCAATGTTGCTAATGAAGAAAACGATTACCGGTGAAGAAAAAGGACGTATCCACCATTATCGTGTAGAAAAAAGGTTTTACGTTCGTGTTATTTCACAGAAGAGATGATTTCATCAGCGCGCTTTATGGGACAAGTGTATGCCGTACCCACTTCAAGATGTAATAGAGTTTATGAAGATATTGTGTAGTTTACAAGCAACCTTAATACTTTGACTTTGCCTGACAAATGTCTATTAATTTGCTTAATATACATTATAGAAAGTACTTTACATTGGTCACTATTTTAAATACTATACAAGTTGCTCTGTGAAAATATGTGCTTTTCCTTAGGTGCAACAATTCGTATTAAACGCGATTATTAAGTTGTTTAAACTCTGAATTAATGTACCGTTGACCTAAAGTCAAGTTAAAATTAATTAAAAATTCAGCTTATATTTTTAAGAACAAGAATTCTATGATTTCAAGCGATAGAATATTCGTTCTGATCACATGTTTTAATCTTACATCAGTGAAAGCGGTAATTTATAATATACACGAAATTCATATGTAAAGTATCATTAAAAGCTTGAAAATCAGGAATAGAAACGATCATGTATAATGTATGTGGCAATATGTACCTGCAATAGACTCGTGATCATATTTGCTTAACAAAGTCATAAATCATAGCAATATATTAATATTTAATTATTACGAGACTATCGAGTTTGTAATACACGTATCAGATTTATCGGTTTCTAGCGTTACATGTTTTTTTTCTTTTGAATTCTTTAACTAGTTCGTAAATGGAACTTTTGGAAGAAATGAAAGCACTCACCTTCCACTAAAGATGTTAAGAGCGTGACGTTGGCGGCCTTCCTTCTACCGGCTGGTAGATTCAAACCAATTTTTTCCAATTTTTCCCTAAGCAGACGCCCACCATTTTTGGATTTCGCCCTGCAAAATGCAAAATATATTTTTATATAAAGCTCTTCGTATATATAACTTGTTTAATATCATTCAAGTAACACGATATATCGTTTCATCAACGAAAAATTTGTGGTATTAAAATTTAATGCCATTTAATGATTTAATGTTAATTTTTATGACATTATTTACTTCATGGCATTATTTAAATATTTCAATATCACATATTTTATGTTGTATATAATCTTTTCAAATAGTTTTACAACTAGCTTTTGTGTCTGTCCATTTTTTAACGAAAAATAATTACACATATTAATTTTACATTTAATATTATAATCATCAACATTTAATAATAATATAAATTGCTAAACTCGGTCGGAGGTTAAAATTCTCATATAGTGATACTACAGCTTGACTAAATTAAATAATTGGCTATATTATGCCAGCGAGATGATTATCTGGTTTGATTTATTTGATTTATTCTCATGCAAAAATTTACGTACGCCACCGAACTAGAGATTCATTGATTCATCATGTTATTTATTGATAAATTATTTTTCTACCATTCGCTAAATACTTGTTCGGACATATGCGAACGCCCACGTCTCGAGCCGTTCCGCTGCGTGAGAATTTCGAAACGGAACTCTTCCATTAATCATTTCGCCGTGGTTCTCTAAAAAGATGAAATCGAGGTGCGAGAGGGATGGCGGTAACGAGAGGGAAATACGGTTAGATTAGCATAATCCGCGGGCTACGTGTGTCATCGGTGATTGAGCAAGCTCGATGATGCGCTCGTACCGTTCATGCACGTGCGTTTTGTGGAATAGGAGCGAGCCTGAAAGAAAGGAGCACTATGTTCTTCGCATAGAGTGAGGCTATTCAAAGCTCACAGTATGAGCTACGGTATAAGCACATCGGAATAGAATTTTTATCGACACTTCTATGGCCTCCTCCGACACGTGTATCTGGGTTAATTATTAAACGACGAAACGCCCCTTGTGCGAACGTAACGATAAAGCGTTTATGTTTCACGATTGATTATAAGTTAAGACTTCTTCGTTGTAATCATGATTTCGGTCAATTAGATGCGCCGTTTATTTGTTGCTTCTGAAAGAGCGTTTAATGATAACGCGACGTTAAGATTAAAATTGCAATTTGAATTCTAGTTGTGAATGGGAAGCATTAGCAAAGTTCTGTTTTAAATACCTTTAGAAACAGCTTGATTAGCTTAATAAATGGTTCTCTATTAAAGATGTAAGGACAATACGTACCCTTTCAATGTTGAATAACGCGGTAAATAACGCAAATTAGTATCACATCAGATAAAAAGGCACATTTTTATATAAACTTTATAAAAAATAAACCGCTGATAATTATATGCTTCTATTTAAAAAAAAATTAATCATCCTCTTTGATTTTACGCTAAATTATGGTTTCACGTGTTCTTTCGGGCCAAGTCTATCGAGACATCATCAAAAATTGCGTTTTAATCCTTTTACAACCGGACAGTGACTTCGTATCGTTAATCCACTGACGAAGTAAGAAGCTGCGAAGTAAATTTTTTTCGTGGAACATCAACGGGAACGCGATAGTAGCAGAGACTTCTTTCTTAACACACCCTGTCCATCCATCATCTTGGCCTGTTATAACGGTAACGCGTATCGCCTACCTTTGTTCAGTTCGGCTGCCCGGTTCGCCCGGTAATCTTTCGCCTTGCTCAGTAATTAATACGTTTTACCGCTATGTGTTTTTAATATCGGCTCCTCCGAATTTACGTTTCGCGAATATTCCGCTCATTTTATTCTTTCTGAATCAAACTGACCCGTGATATTACACTCATTTTTGGACAGAACCGAAGAGGAAGCAATTAATTATCTGTATCTCAATTATCTCGGCGACCAAGAGCGTGTTTTCATTTATATTAAATATCGAGAATTTTTATCTTAAAGATACGTATACACAAATATTTTAACATTCTTATCTTAAACATGTTAAAAATATACACAGAACGTATAAATTGTTACACTATATTATTTCATTTATATCGAAGGTAGATAAAGTTTTATAATATACTAAAACATTTTTTCAAGAATTTAATTAACTTAGATTGTACTACTAATGATCGTTCGTGTTACGTAATCTCTTTCCTCTTAATTTATTTATTTATACTGTCATGTTAAAACTCAAGATCTGATATTAAACTGACAAAACTGTTGAAAGTTTTCAATATACGCTCTCGTTCATATTTCCGTTCGCATAGATTCGCACGATAAGTTTAATCGAACTATTACCGACATAGATTCCAAAACTGGTTTCGAGCAACGCGATAATCATCATCGATTATATATACAAATCGAGACGCAAGTTGAGTCAACATGCGTGTCAGAAGAATTTTGACAAATGTAATTGATCGCGGAAACGGTCGTCCAACCGAATCGAATTGTCGATATTCAATGGTCGTTTCTCGGTACGTGACGAGAACGATGCTGCGACTCATTACTGAAGACTTGTCCCGAGAGGAATCCTCGTTCCTCTCAGACGTATCGCTCTCCTCTACGTAAGGGGTTCCGTGGAATTTGCAACCCTCAGTTGTCGATTCCACCGATAGGAAGGTTCTGAATAGCGGATCCCTTGCTTCCCCTGATTGCTCGAGACATCTTCGAACTCTTGGCATCGTTAATCGTCTGCAGACGCCATGCGAGATTAGAAAACCGAAGGACTTTATGATCAAGACTCATTCAAAATGCTCCTCCAGCATCGTTCGCGAGAATGAGGCGGAAATGTGATTAGCAATAATGAAGTATAGCACATGCATTTCTAGTGAAATGTTTAAAATTGAAATATTTAAGGAAAATATTTTCAATATCTTCTCGTCATGATATAAAAAAAAACTTTTTTACGAGATATATTCATTTCAATAATGTTGTTATTATTGTATGTTAATGCAATAATTTTCTATCATAGAATTCTTCGTTAATATAAATTAATAATATAGAATCAACGTAGTTTACATGTTACGTGCTTTTTAAGGTTTTGGAATAATAAATATAATAATTTATATTATAATAATTAATATTAATACTTTATTTTAATGATTATATAAATTACTATTAATGTTAATACTAAAATACTAATGATACAAATCATATTTCTAAATTTTTTTCTTATTATCTTCCATAAAAACTAAATAACTACAATTAAAAAAATTACTTATTATAATGCTATAATACTTTAGAATTTATAAATTGCCAGAGATAATAATTATAATCACACTAAGATGTAACATTTGAATAAAATCTCCTCCTGATAGTTCAAAAAACTGTTTTGAATTTTGTTTTTATTGACATCTTCTGTTCGATCGAAGAAGCAATGTCGGAATATAGCTCGCGTAAATAAATTAGATCGATAAATTGATTGATCGATGGGCGCTTTATTTCTATGGCTAACAGATTTAATGAGAATCATCGCGTCGAGAGAATAATACGCGATAGATTCATTACGCTGGCATTATTTCTTGCTGCAAAAATGAAACTTAATAACAGTATTATCGTGACTGCAGCTTATATAATAATCGATGTGCGCATAATCTCTTCCAATCTGAATATATCATGACAATACAGAAAAATAAAGGAGTAAATAGATCGGCAAAATTTCTATCCTACGGCGGAAGTCAGCCTTCTTCTCAAGCCTGATGACCTTGTGCGTGATTTTCAGACTTCCAAGCAGATGGTGGCCAATCGTAGAAGTCTGTCGGAATCCGACAGCAATTTACGGAGCAGGTGAGGGTTTTGTTAATCCCAGGTAAATTTTAGACGGGATAGAACGCCCAATAGGCTATTTTCGTATCGAAGTTTGAAGGCTGCAACATCTCAGAATACCGACACGAAAAAATGTACACGGAGAACGTGCAATTTTTTTATATCATTCGTAAAAATATTCCAGTAATAAAATAAACTAGAGTAAAACGCTGTTCTTTTATTTCGCGAATCTCCATACTTTTTGATAATATCGATTCAGATATGGTATTATTTCAACAAAATTCTTACTCGTCATTTATCTTGTAACTTGTTTTTTATCCACCTTTATTTTGTGTGTGTATGTGTACTTCTGCCTCTTAAAAAAACCAATTGACAATACTATTATTAGTTCATTTATCCGATAAATTTTATGATCTCGAGTTTGCTAGTAGATTCACTATTAAATTTATAATACCAAATTATACCTTATTTACGTTATTTGTAATCATTATAGGTTGTCATTTCTTCTACTCAATCTATCGTTAATTTGACTAAAACAATATACAGTTAAACAATTTAACTTCATAAAAGTATTAAATTAGACTTAAATTTAGTTTACTATTTACTAAATGCACACATCTTACTTTGAAACTAACTACAGAAATGAATTGATTTACATTTTGATACACTTAAAAGTTACAAATAACAAAATGTTATTTAACTCCAAAGATTAGATTACTATTGCTCCTTTGACATCTATGGTAATGCTAAACGATAGACCAATTGAGTCCTAAAATCGAAATAGCCAATAGAAAAATGCAATAATATACAATAGCGGCCGGCAGGAAGATGCAATATTCGTTCAGATAGAAGAAATGTATTATTTTTATTAGTGTAGAGTTTTAAACGATATATCTAGTAATCATAGTATCAGGACGCTGGTACCTGATTCATACATGGAGAACAAATCTCGCGCGTACCTTCAAAGAGACAAAAATAAATGGAGCGCATTGAGAAAGCACGCGTTGTGAAATAGAGCTCAGGGCAAATCGAAAATCGGTCGATGTGAAAACAAAAACGGAAGGCGCGGATCTTCGACAAAAGGCGCTGGCGCGCATACACGTGCATGCGTCGCGATACAACGTAATCGATCTTCGCGAAATGATCTCTCTCTCTCTCTCTCTCTCTCGCAGCGTATTGCGACGATCCTGAACCCTCGTGAACGCGCGAGTCGCCGACGAATGAAATCGCGAACAAGATGGAAGAGACAAAAGGAGCGTACGGAGCAAAGAGAGAGAGAATCTATATGGCAAGTCTCGGCCGAACGTGCGTGTAATTATCGGTCAGATCGCTATGCGAACAGATGAATTATAACGTCGCGGCCGGTGCGAGATGCCGCGTTCGCCTCGAGGCGCGCTCGCTCGCTCGCACACCGAGGAATTGACACTCGCAGCCGCGCGAGTTATTAATGTCTCATTTGCATCGGCAATATAGATCGGTCCGCTTTATTAGCGATCTGCTCCGCGGCAAGAAAGATTTGCCACGCTCCGTCACTCCGACCGCAGGAACGGGGGTTCACGCGAAAACGCACGCGTCGAACAATATTTCTTTCATTGTGCGAAAAGTGTGAATATTTTCCGCAATAATTATTCATAATCTTTTTTTTAATGACTTTTCGACTCTTATTGATCTATTTTATAATCACTGTGAGTGACGTACATTCCGTTTGAATTGAATGTAACTTCCACTAAAATGTCGAAATGTAATTTCAATTGTAACAAAATATGATTGAATACTGATGGTAGCCTCAAGAGGCGCCAAAACGTTTATTAATTATTATTATACGTTTACTATAAATATACATTATTCTAATATTATTGCATGTAATTAACTGCACCTGGCTTTCATTTGTTTTGTACATTTTGAATTGTTTTTGAATTTCAAGAATTCTATTATAATTTTATAACTTTTTTAATCCTTCATATTTTAATTAAAATTTATTATATAGGATTATTGAGAGAGAGAAAATATTAAAAAATATTCCCAATCGATACAGTTAAAAATAACATAACATCGATGTTATAATTTCATACGTAACAATGTAACAGCTATGTAACATTATGTGTTATATTATTATACTTATATTATTGAGCGAAATTGTAACATTGATGTTACATCACTTTTCATTGGTGTCAACTGGATTATTGTTATCATTTCACAGTATATATTCAACGCTTAATAAATCAGGATGCTATAACAAATTCGTTAAATTTTCTGCAAGCTCGTATTTCGAATTTTTCCGGACGATTGCAAAGTAAGTAATAGAGCAAGGCGCGCGTGATTTCGCGACGTTTCGACGGTAATTTCGTAAAATACCTATCGCGAGAGAAGGATCTAGCATGAAAAGTCGTACGGAGTGCGTGGAAGTACAATATATCTGACCGCTTACAGGGCGATTTATACACGCCTTTGGTGATAAAGCATTGCGCAACGAGCGGTGCTCTAGCACCGAATAAAACGGTGAATCAGATAAAGGGCGGGGTGTGCTCTACCATATGAAGCGTCTAATAAATCAGGTGGCTGTCTGTGCCCAGTTGGGCACGGGAGGGCCGGATGAGCTGAACCGCGCGGGTTTATTAATTAGTGCCGCGGATAAAGCCGTGTAAGAACGCGCGCGTCTTAACGATCTTTTACGCGCCGCGCATTGTCCCGATCGCGCGCCCTGTCTGTTATACCCGATTGCCTCGATACGGCGGCCGGAAATGTCGGCGGTAATGCGCAACGCCGTGTGTTTCGTATTTCATTTCTTACCGCAGCAGCCGCAACAACCGCGAGTCGTAACAGAGCGCGGATATATCCGGGGCCGCGAATTGTTGCCGTCTGCCAACGCGCCTCTGTAGGAAGCGGGATGCCTGGGCGCTTGTTATCTCGCGTCGTCCTCGCGCGCGACGGAATATTCATGAGAAATCGCGATCGAGCTCCATTTTCATACCGCGCACACACGATTGGCTTAAAGTAGAACCCGCGAGCGCCAGAATGCACCAGAGATTCGTATCAATGCAGATTTGCAGAGGCTTTTCGTGTTTTTTCTTCTTTTTTTAAACTTTCCCGTACACTCCGCAAATTCTTTGATATCATAGGGACACAGAATATCCTGTCCTAAAAGCTTGAATTTAAAAAGATTGAAATTTTAGCGTTTCTTTTTTTTTTTACCACTGTTATTTTCAAATCGATTCGTTCAGACAACGCTACGTGTCGGACATTTTTGTTCTTCGTATCGCGAAAGCTGCGCTAATTCTCATGTCAACGACACTTAATTTCTTTCGTATAATATACGCAATTATCATAACGGTTTGCTTGTCGAGAACCTGGTGGTCCGAGTGATCAAAAACGTGCGTGATTAAAAAGCGGATGAACCGCTCTTTCACCGTTTTTCTTTGTCGAAAGACGACTGCTCGGAGAACTGTTGGGGAGAAAAGGGGGGAGACGGAATTACTGCAGCTGCAAATCGACGAATCTCTCGTCGATTTTATCGTGACGGAGAAACATGACAAGAAAACATGAATCGATATATTTATTTCTGCGTACGGGATCCACTTGAGTGCAATCGTTCTTAAATCTCTTTACCTTCGTAACACGCCACCGAGGAGACTCGCGTTCAAACATTCCGGTGGCGACAGTCGTCTTTGTACCTCCGCTACCGTAACTTTGTACTTGCTGGTGCTGCTTAGTAACGATAATCGTCCTGGGACCGAACAGAATACGTCCGACGGTTGCGCGTTTCCGGACAACATAGCCTTCTCGCTCCTGTCCGAAGGTTTCATATCTGCAAAATAAAAAATGCGACCGTTAGAGTGGTCTTAAGTCTTTCGAGAAATCTCAAGAATACTAAAGACTCCTATTCTGTAACTCTTAACAGGTTTGACAGATTGTAAAAAAGCTGTGCAACGATAATATAATGATATCATTACTGTCGAATTAAGAGCTACAGTATAGGGGGATCTAAGATTTATTTGGTATGTATTTATTTTAGAAACATTATAAAATGAATTGTGTTCGTGAAAAGTGAAAAAAATAAAAATGCAATAAAATATAATTAATCACGATGAAAGGACTCTTGAAATTTGAAAAATAATATAATATAAAAATAGACGTTAGAGAGGAACGCAAAAAACGACATATATTTTAGATAATAAAATCGAACTATTTGCAAGAAATAAAGAAATAATACTATTTCCGTTAAAAGATCTCCTAGTAATGTTTAATAATATTCACATGCAAATTTTTGCAAATATATATTTTTTCTGTTTTATAAATTGCGTTCCGATTTAGTTTCTCTTGTTTATACGCAATCGTACATTGAAACTGAAATAGTGATATCTCAAATTAGATTGATCGTTAATTTTAATAATGATGATAAGCATCTTAAAAACTAACAAAAAAAACTATAGACGTAAAAGTAAAATAAAACAAGGAGCTATCTATATAAACATATAAGAGCAATACATCAAATAAAATCTTAAAACGTTAATAACAGCAGACATGAAATATTTAATGGGTATAATTACCTAAAAAAAAATAAAAAAAAAAAAAAATAAAAAAAAATAGGGTACAGTTGCTAAGGAAAGATAAAACGTCGATAAGCTACTCTTCTCGTGTACCACTTAATTATGTTATTTAACAGATCTCAGGTAATTAAGTATGGCTTGGTATATCTAATGTCTCGTTCGACGTATTGCGTGCAAATGGATCGCAAGGTCGCTAGATCTTGGCAAGTGAATGAGTACCTAGCATTACTCATAACTAATACACATCGATAAATCTAAATCTTTACACACCTGATCCGACTGTTGCGAATTCCTTCCGTTATCAATAAGCAATTTGTGTAATAACATGGCGTGACCTAGTAGTGGGATAGTAGCCTCTAATGAGCCGAATAATGATTTCCAGAAATTATCGGGCTGATGCGACTCTTTTATCTAATGAGCGTCTAAAGACGAATTTTATTAAACGAGTCCGTTATACTCTGGAAATGAGAAATAAATCCCGGAGACGATCAATATCGCGTATTTCGCGATACTTTTCATAATTTACCCCTGATTTTCGCTGTTTTCGTTCTCGTCGACAGAACGATATAATAATCAGTTTCTTCGTCCAGCGAAGGAATGCAATAATCCAGTTAAGACTGCCGCATAGTCCATTCTCGTAGGTCAAAGTGAGAGATTCACGACCCGGTGAAGCAAGAAATACCGGAAGCAAAGATCCCGATCCGAAATTATGTTATACAGTCTCCCGCTCTCCCCCCCCCCCCCCCTCTCTCTTCGTACGTATGCGTGCGCTTGTAGTTGGGTGTACCTGTATTTGCGTATACACGTAACCGTGATCAGGGCAATATCTTCGGCAAATATTTTAAATTCATCCGTACCGTTCCTGTTTTAGCTCCTATGCATCGAATAGCCCCGCATTATTGCATCGTTGGCCTGGAATGCTTAATATCGTGCCTTGGGGCCCCGGACAAAGCGCGTTATTACATGGCAAAGAGATGGTCAACTTATAACTTAACGGGGATCTTCATCTTCGCCGACACACGAGGGACGTATCTCCTTGTCCATAAGTTTTTCACATCTCGAAACCGCTGAACGAGAAACATTTTCACAGACGGAATCCGACTTGGTCTTTCGATAATGAAAAGGAGACGCCAATTTCTCGCGATAGAAGAGCCCTCTCTGTTTAAAGGAAAGTTCGCTGCTAAATGTACACGCAGGGAACGTAATATGGTATATAACTTAAATGGCATAGTGAAAAGAAAAATTAAGTCCCGGGGCCTACGGAACGGATAAATTCACCGTGGAATATTTATTGTCTTAATATCAGCTAACTATTCGCTGCGTTTCGCTTGATACATTACCGGGGTCTCGACTAAATGCACCGTCATTCAACGAGCTAATGTCAGCGTGTTATGACAGATACACGAGGACGGCTCTATAAATCTAACCGATAGATATCTCACGGCATTTTTGCCATACCGCACTATTCCCGCTCTATCGCTCCCGCAGCGCAACGCGACTGTGTTGTTCATTTCGTTATCCGTTGAAACGTAAACGTCGTGATTGTGACGCGCCGAGTTGTGTGCATCGAGAACGCACGTCGCTCGAGAATACGAACGCAGCTTGATATTCAGAAGACATCGTTGTCGTCGTCATCCATATCCTTACCGCACCGAGCGAGCGAAGGGGAGAAAGTAAACAAGTTGTTCGTCTATCTATATGAGTGCCGGAATCGATCCCCCATAGATGTCTCGATCTCGCGGGTCAAATAAGTAATCAATTTCTGTGCGCACACCAAATAGGTTGACTTGTCGAGTTTATAAATTATAATGTTCGATAGGAGAAGCTGCGATAGAAAGAAAGAGAGGAGAAAGACCTCCCCCCTCCCCTTTCTCTCTCTCTTTCTCTTTTTATCGCGGCTTCCTTTCGAACATTATAATTTATAATCTTGACAAGAGAGTCTTCTCTCTCAACAGGCGCGTAACGGTCCAGGCAAAACCGATGTTAGTCGAACAATTTGGTAGCGTCGAAATGATGCTGGCGAAAGGAACGAGAGACACACACACAGAGAGAGAGAGAGAGAGAGAGAGAGAAGATATAGGAAGAAAAGAAGAAACGACGGATGTCGGCGAATACACGATTTCCATGATTCGCGCGTCAAGCGTGCGTTCTTTCCTCGTTCCTTTCTCCGGCCTGATATTATAGCGGATATGTTAAATATGGGTTTTACAACGGATTACGTTGAGACGAGTGCCGTCCCTTTTTCTCAATGTATACCTTAATGCTTACAATTAGGAATATTGGCAAGACGTTAATATTGTCTTCCTTTTATCCTTCGTACGATAATATTTTATTTGTCTTCTTTTTCCCTCTAATCGCTTGTATTTTTAATACATACCGCTGTCGACCGATCTCGAGTACTGTCACTTGAAGAAGGTTTTAATCTTCCTTGCTCAAGATTCGAGTGCGTTTTATAATATTTTTATACAAACAGTATGTGTTTTTGTATCGTGAATTACAGCTGATTTGCAAACGCAACGGTTTGCTCAATTTTGCATTATGAGTAGATTAATCACGTAAAGGTGATATTTTTTAAATTCCAATTTTTCTTAACAGATATTGTAGAAAACAAGGAACACAAAATGTACTTCAATTTTAGGTGAAAAATTTACTTATTTGAATTTTATTTGTGATATTTGTAGTAAAATTGTGTGACGTACAGATTTCAATTTTTAATTTAATACATTGCTAGATAAGAGACTAAATTATTCGATTACTTTAACATATGCATATTCACAAATTCACATTTTACACACACACACACACACACACACACACATGCATTAGATTCTTATTTAATGTTAACTTCTTATCTTTACAATTAGTCTTTAAATTCATGAATTGAAAAACGAATTATCTATTCAATATTAAAAAGGATTAACAAAGTACGTTCTTCTGAAAACGTAATATTATTTATTAACGTAATAATATTAATAATTACGTAGAATTTACAAATGTAAGATGATCCATACTGTTTTTATTATCATCATAATCCAAGATCTGGTATATTCGCCGAATTTAATACGCAGTTGTGTCTAATTAAAATCTCGCGAATCTATTGAAACCCGTAGTTTCTGAAAGACAGTTACGATTCAGTTTCGTCAAGTACCAACGGTGGCACGTACGCGTCGTTAGAGAACATCATTTAGAGACGCCTAAGTGCTGCGAGCATTTCTAACCATCCGATTTGCTATCTCGAACACTTATCTCGATTCCAGTAACGGTTTGCGAACGTATTATTAATTTATTTAATGAGAATAGCTCTGGCTTCGCTCATTTTCCTCGTAGGGTCGGCATCTATACTACAAAGCGTATATAATTATCGTGAGCCGCCGTAACCTTTTGCCGTGTGAATTGCGAAACCGTTTCAGTCATCGGACGAATAATCACTATCGGTCTCTCTATATCGCCGCTTAATTACTCACTTTTATACCGGATAATTCGACAATCGTATCAGGAATAAGGCGGTAAGGTTTTACGCTCGAGGATTGAATAAATTACGATTGATCTCATTGTCGTATGACACGCGTTTTAAAAGAATTAAAAAAATTCTTACGTAACATATTGTCGCGGTGTTAAAAACGGATAAAACTAAAAATACATTTTTTTGCTACATTTTTTTCGGAAAAGATGGGAATTCCAGCGAAGACTAATTTCGAACGTATGTCCAACACAGTGAATTGCATTTACGAGTGCGCGAGTTATCGAGGTAACAATCGCGAACGCCATACGCTGGGAGATGTGGCTCCGCTTCTCTTCGCGCAACGACGCACTTGATACACACTCGAGTGTCTTCCTCGTGAAATTGCCATCTCAGACCTTAGATAGCGCTCAAGAAAATAACACTAGATAATTTGTCAACGTGTTAAGCTATCGCAGATGCAACTTGCGTGCGCAGTACACATAGTCGAACGAAACATCACGCGGTTTATCCCTCGATTAATAATTGCAGATCGGCTCGATAGATAAATTACGCAACGTTAAGATACAAAATAACGTTCACCCGCACAACGTACGCAGTTGGTATATGTATCGTTCGCAACTGCAGTTCGTACTGTCTGGAGTCTCTCGATTATGCAGCAACCTGAATCACGCGTGACCATGACACAGGAAGCACTTTACGTTCTTACGTCTTCGCGTTCTTGTTCTGTGTTCCGAGAAATATCATCGAAGAAACCTATGAGAAGACTCGGCTTGCAACTCGAGCTTTCCTCCTTTT